ATTGACGTATATATGACTGATATTAGGCTGGCTCCCAGACGCTTTGGAGGCTTCGTTTGTATCTGGTTTATAAAATCATCATTTTCCTTAGACTGAAATAGTTGTGACCGGCTCTAGATGTCTTTGAGGTTTTACATGAAGAGCAATTGAGCTTAGGCAAAGAATAATCTAAGTAAAATGTGTGAGTGCTCGTTTGTCCTGTTTGGTATGTATTGTGATTTGAATATCAAATTTGTCATGAAGAATTATTCTAACATGTTATACATTGCGTCCCAGAAAAAACGAAACCGAGAAGTATCGATGTTCTATCATAACTTAATCACAACTATAATTAATGAATGATACATATTTGGAAAACTTAGAGTCTCCTCCTTTATGTGATGCTACTCAGATGATGCATATTTCACGCATGAGTGATTAAAAGCAATTTGAAGGAAGTAAACCAAAAAGACATTTGGCGGGCGGTATCTGAATTTCGAAGAAAAATTCATATTTCTAGAAAGTTGAGTTTCTGCCCTTTCATATGACACCTCAATCAGGAAAAATGAGCGAGGAATGACAAAGTTCTGTTTGTTTAAAGTAGTGCTTGCATTTCCATAATCTTATTAAACGAATTCGTTTTCACTGGCTGCCCGCCGTATCAATAAACGAAATTAACAAAAGACTTAACTTAACAATCAGCCGTAGATGAGAGTCTTCAAGCATGGCTGATTGCCAACGAAACGGAGTTAAGTCTTTTGTCAAATCTGCTTTTTGCTACGGCTGGCACCCAGTGAAAACGAATTCGTTTGTTAAAATTATGAAAATGTAAGGGCTACTTTAAACAAACAGAACTTTGTTATTCCTCGCTCATTTTTTCTGATTGGTTTCGTTTTCGGTTTCGTTTTTTTCTGGGACGCACTGTATAGATATAAATGCACATGGTATATATTTAAGGTTATTATGTGATTCTTATTAAATATAGATCACACTTCAGCTAACGATTCTGCCGAAGCGGAGCAATCCATATAATTTGCTCCCTATAAACATTATGGTTTATTTCTAATAGTATATTTCAGTGTGTATAAATACATGTATATAACCCTGCTTTTGATACTTCAAATTTAATAAGAAATGTTGCCTACTAAGTTCTAGAGTTGTTCAAAGCTTAAATTCCACGTTAAGAATAAGGACGTTTATCTTTATAGCTGAAGGTAGATCACGGATCATATTTGTTTATTATTTGCTCGTTTGTCCTGTTTTGTATGTATTGTGATTTGAATATCAAATTTGTCATGAAGAATTATTCTAACATGTTATATAAATATTAATGCACATGGTATACATGTTAGGTTATTATGTGATTCTTATTAAACATAGATCACACTTCAGCTAATGATTCTGCCGAAGCAGAGCAATCTATATAATTTGCTCCCTATAAAAAGTTTTTTCAAATAGTATATTTCAGTGTGTATAAATACATGTATATAAACCTGATTATGATACTTCAAATTGAAAAAGAAATGTTGCCTACTAAGTTGTAGAGTTGTTCAAAGCTTAAAATCCACTTTAAGAATAGGGTACGTTGATCTTCATTTGTTTTCGTTAAAAGGTCACAAGTTTCTAATACTTGGTTTCAGCTTAATTAAGAATTAATGTAATGAAAAATTGTTCAGTGTCAAAGTGCTGAAATGTGAATGCTAACATACATTTCTGAGATTTATGTTTAAAATATGTGTTTTGTTTTCCACGGTTTACCTTCAACAATGTAAAATACCAAAACTTTGTATTTAATCACAGAACATATTTACCCTATATGTAGAATAGCTTGAAGCTTAAGTATGTATTCATTAGTTATTCATATGTATCCATAACATTCTCATTCATTGCTGTGATACTTTTGTGTGTTGGTGGTACCAGACACGATAAGCATTAAATGCTATTTTCTGGTCCAATTTATCCTTTCAATGTTAAACATTCACATTTGATTTGTTATATTGATATACTTTTTGTTTTGGATAATAAACTTCAAACTCAAACTCAAGTGGTGGAAAGGCAGACGCGGTGCTCCCGGGATGCAGGGTGGGGGAAGGGGGCACAGTGCCCTCCCACTTGTTTAAGTACCCCAAAAGTGCCCCTTTTTACATAGGAAAAGTGCCCCAGTTACTTTGACAAGTGCCCCTATTCATTTTTAAAAGTGCCCCTTCCACCTTTCCACCTCTGAAAAGTGCCCCTTTTATTTTGACACTTCCCCTTTTCCTTCAACAAGTTCCCATTTTCCTTTGCAATAAGTGTCCATTTACCATTCTCATAAGTGCCCTTTTTAATCTCTAGTAAGTGCCCCTTTTCAGGTACGAGAAGCGCCCTTTTTCAATTTTTATAAGCGCCCCCTTCACCTCTGATAACTGTCCTATTCAAATCTGAGAGGTGCCCCTTTTGACTCGACAAGTGCCTCCTTTCCTTTGTAAGAAGTGCCCCTTCTCCTTTTTATTAAGTACCCCTTTTTAACTCGGATAAACGCACCTTATATTTTCACATGTGCCCCCTTTTCTTTCTAATAAGTGCCCCTTTTCCTTACGATAAGTGCCCCCATTAAAAAAGAGCCCCTTTTTACCTATGAAAATATTCTTCATTCTCAAAGGTGCCCCTATTCATCTCTTGTAAATGACCCTATTCACTTCTGAGAGATACTCGTTTTACTTTGAAAAGTGCCCCTTTTCCTCCTGATATAAGTGTTCTTTTCATCTCTAATAAATGCCACTTTTATTTTGACACGTCCCCCTTTTCCTTCCTAATAAAAGCTCTGTTTCCTTCTTATAAGTGCCCCTCCTTTCATGTCTCTATCTCTCTCACTTGTTTTCTCTTTGACTCTCATTCTCTCTCAATCTCTCTCTCTGTTCTCTTCTATTCTCGTCGCTTCTCCCTCTTTTCTCCGCTCCTATCCTGTCTCTCGCGCTTTCTCATTTCATTTCCCTTCTTTTATCTTTCTTCTCTTCTCTCCTATCCTATCTCTACCACTCTCTCACCTTAAATAACTTGTTCTCGCTCGTCCTTCCCCTTTTCTCGTAGTCTCTATTCTGCTGCATTTATTTTTCTACTCACGTCTCTCATTCTTACGTACCTCTTCTCATCCTCGTTTCCTCAACCATGTATTCCATAGATCTATATACAACATAAATCAAAAATTCTGAGTCGCAAATAATATAATTTGATTTCGGCGACCATTTAATGACTTCGGAGTTGAACATTTCGTTAAAAATCAATCCATTCATCCCTCCCCCCAAGCTCATGACAAATACTCGGAAATCTTTAAACTTCAATGAAAATAACGTTGGGAATCTGTACTTTATTGAATCTACAATGAAACTAGATAGGTTATAAATTTGTCTTATACGAATCAGATGGAATAATTATGTTCTATTTATTTTTTATTTAATGCATTATTTGCTCTAAAATTGAATTATTTGTATTCATAAAACCTAGAAACAGTACATGCGCTAACAAGGATTATGAGATCGAAGAGTCTTCTAGGCAACACGACAGGCATGAATGACAGGGCAGACTTTCGTTAGGACGAGCTAGGTAACGGTTCGTGCCGATCTCCATTCATCTGTGCAATGGTAGTCTCGCAGACCTCATGTCTGGTAAATAAATATTTTCTTTTTCTAAAATCGACTTGCCGTGTAAATATGTGTGGTCTACATGTCCTGCGTGATGACCCCCCCCCCCCCTCGACTCCCTTGTCTGCCTTGCGTTTCACATCGTAACTCTTGACAATTCTCGCACTTACTGTTTACTACATTATATTGTTTTTTTTTCGTTTCCCCTGTTTATTACCATCTACGATCTAATGAAAACTTTGTCTATCAATTGAACTTGAAAGCTTAATTTGTCCTCATTATGTCAATATACCCAGCTCAATTACATTGTATACTTCCTGTAACTCTCGGCTCACTCTCTTTTTAAAAATCTTTTCGTCACTGCTCTACCCATCTCCTCTGCCTACCTTTGATCCTCTTCTACTCTCTTGCTCTTTCGACATCCTCATCGTACAAAACTGATTTCCTGTAACTACCAAACTAAAGCTTTTATGACTGTGTTTTACCATCAATTTTACCTGTAATAATTTTTGTCTACGATTATGATTATTTCTCTTGGTAAATCAACTTGTAAACTGTTTACCAGCGAGAAAAAAAAAATCCGGATAATAAATGTTTAAAGGGAAAGTTGAGTTCTGTTGCAAAGGGCGCTACACACATTTTTGTGTGTGTAAGATAACGAAAAACTGAGTGTCAAATTTGAAAGAACATACAATTTTAATGAAAAAAATCATCTTTGTTTGATCAAAATCGGTTCAGAGACAGCTAAAATATCCATAAATATAACGAATTTTAATACTTGTGTACCACCACAAAAATTTATAATTTGAAAAAGCCATTGTAGAAAAACGAAAAAGCGCCTTTTACGTTGTATTTCAGCCAATGCCGATGTTGGCTTTTTCGTTGGCATTTTCGCGTAATTAAAGTACGCATAACCAGCCGGCCCATGTATTGTTATTTTTAATTAAATAATTATTTAACGGTCACCGTATATTTTACACATTTTGGGGCAGTCGCGTACGCAAGGGGGGGGGGGGGTTTGGGGGTTTAACCCCCCCCCCCCATTACACATTTTGAATGCTAACGTTTTAGACGACCCCCCCCCCCTTTTTTTTTATATTTTTAAATATTGAAATTTAAAACAAAAAAATCGTGGTAATTGGTGTCCCAAAAGAACAGACCTAATCCCCCCCCCCCAATACCGATCGGCCAAATTTTCAAATTTTGGGTCACACAAAACAAAAATGTGCTCTTACCCCCCCCCCCCCCTACCCCTCCCCCCTCATTCAGCGACCGGCTGAGTCGTTGCGAAAATGTTGGGGTCTAAAATTACCTTCATAGCAATTTTAGGTTCCAAAAGGGCACTAAAAATGTCATAGATAAGAATAAAAGCAATAACCATGCACTTTGCAGGCATTTTTGGTCTGAAAACAGAACTCAACTATCCCTTTAATTTTAATTTTAATTTCAAATACCTGGATTACTACTACAAAATTGCTTCATTAGTTTTAAAGACTAATGGCAAACGACGCAGGGTCAAATATTTAGGTATAATAATAATAATAATAATAATGTAACTTATATCGCGCCAAATCCACTCTGTGGAGTGCTCAAGGGGCGTGTTAACAGGCAAAACAGGTATTGGTTGGATCCGGAGGAGGGTTGCCGCATCCGCAATCGCAGGCGTTTGCAAAGCAGACACAAAACATGTTGGAGGTCCTCCCGTGACGCCTTAGACGAGCGTGCTTCTCCACGGTCACGTCTTGAGCCCAGAACGTGTTGCGCCCAGCGCATAGGCTGCGGATGACCGGCCCATTGGTGTCCTGGAAGTAGGCGGCCGGGATCTGGCCGTCTAGGCGGTATTTCTTGAAGTTGAATGCGACACTAGATATGTCGATCTCCTGGGCGAAGGAAATTCAAAATAGAGGCTTATTACCTAGGCGCTGATGCACATATTTCATAATAGTAATAATATTTAAGGTGGTGATGGTAATTGACGATGATTGATGATGATGAAGAAAATGGTGATGACTTCACTTCATTTTGTCTATTTCTCAGTTCTGAATACATAATAAAATCAGTATACATTACAGATACTATGTCCCTTTGTGCAGGAGTTATAAATATGTCATGTTTGTCCTATCTGTGACATTTAGATGTTAGCAGTGTCCTAGTATTCAAATTATGCAAGGAAACCCATTAACTTTTTTAGGCTTTCCTGTCAGACACTTATGAATGACTGACTGACATTTTGTTTCTTTGTTAATACAATACATGAAATGAGCTGTAACAGGTATATGAACATTTGTCTACATCAATAACCCATTAATGGCTAAAATCAAATTGAGTGAATCTCTGCGCAGCACAAAACGTTAGACCATTGGTACAAGGGTCTGAAAATCGGACTGTTACTTAAATGTAGGTGATTGCAATCGCTTTTGTCGATGCGACAACTAATGGTCGTTCAAGCCCTGCCGTTGTGAGGGGATTTCTAAATATTACGTAATTTCTTTCAAATGCCATTGTAATTTTACCTTTTTATTTTTATTGACCTGCAAATGGGAGATAGTACCTTTACAACAAACATGAAGAAATATGAATTTATTTTAAACGGAACTGGCCAGGGCTCCAAGATAAGCGAAGTTGTATGCCTTGTGACCCCTGACAATTAAGTACAGCAAAGGGAAGAGAAGAATGATAGGTAGAGACTGAAGAAAGAGAGAGGGAGATAGAGAGAGAGAGAGGGGGGTGAAGTGAGAAGGAGAAGCAGATTATTACACATATCATTGCTAAATAAGCAGACATAATCATTCATTACTAAACAGAATTTTGAGAGAACAGCTTTTTCCACTGCTACTTTGAATGCAAACTCTGTGTGAATATTTATTTGATTCAAAGCCAGGGAATTCGATATTGCCCGGGCGGCTATGTATCATTGATTTATGCGGCGTAGCGTCTCCATGATGATGATGACGATTATGCTGACGATTATAATAATAATACTCCTAATGATGATGCTGATAATTATCCCCTCGCCGACGAAGTCGGAGGGGATATAGTAACGCTGCCGTCCGTCCTTCAGTGCGTGCGTGCGTCCGTTCGTAACAAATTTGGTTTCCGATCGATAACTTCAGTAATGTATGACGGATTTTAATGAAATTTGATATGAAGGTAGCCTACATAGTAGCCTACATAGTATCAAAACACAGCCTAATTTCGATTTCGGAGTATGTAGGTTAAAGGTCATAGCTCATTAAATATGCGAATCTGGTTTCCATTCGATAACTTGAGTAATGTTTGACGAATTTTAATGAAATTTAATATATAGGTACATGGTATCAAAATGCATGTTCAGCCTAAGTTCGATTTCTGAGTATGTAGGTCAGGTGAAAGGTCATAGCTCATTAAATATGCAAAAAACCTAATTATATATGTGAAAATGTGGTTAGCTTCCTTGCTAGTAAGTTAATAGTATAGTTAATTGGAGGTAACTTGTTCTGACGTATATAGGCCATTTGTACCCTGCCAGGGGATGCTCACGCTTTGCGTTGACTTGTTATAATAATATTGATATCATGTATAATATTAAACTTGAAACTTGAAACTTGAACTTGAATATTTAACAAAAGTAATAATATTAATAAAAATGATAAAAACAATAATAATGAGAATAATATTGAAACAGCTTTTTAAAATATGAGTTTAATAGCCGCACTTATCCTATGTAATATGCTAATAATAAACTCCATAACACAATATGTGGGGTATCCGGCTGTAGGTGGAGCTCCCCCCCCCCCCCCATTCCTGTCTTTATTTGAAGGCCTAGCAAAAATCTACTGAACATTTTTGCCGGTATCTTTTTTTTCCTCCCTCTCTCTTTCTCTCTATTTACTTAGGCGAGGCGTCAAAAATAAATATACCAACCAGCGGCAGCTAACTGCACTTGTGCGTCCTGGCTGCATTTTTTAAATTAGCTCAGCCGGCTACCGCTGGCGGTAGGAAATGGCATTCAAAAGCATGCGCCGGCTGCCGCCTTTCGAATGGAAACCGAGCCTCAGATCCCAGCCTGGCGCAAGCCGGCTGGTCTAATAAGTGAAAAATAATTGCCCCAGCCAGGCTTCGGCCGTAATTGCAGCCTCGATGCGCCAATACGTGAGGCGGCAGCCTGCTGGTATCGATATTTTTGACGCCTCGCCTTATTCTTTTTCTTGCTTCCTTTTGCTTGGTGGATGTAAAGCTATAACTATGAAGTTATCAATGTAGGCCTACACGATTCGGTAATCATCATTTGCTTCTGCTAGAAAACATGTTTTGAGGTAAGCATATTAACATGAATTTCTCACATTTTGGCCGTTCTCCTCGACGTAATCGCGTACTCGGTGGGCGAAGTCGTCTTCGATCACGAGGCCGATGCAAATGTTGGAATCGTGGAAACGCACGAACATGACAGACTGGTAGAAAAACAAAACAAAAACAGGATTATAGGAAAACAATAGCTGAATAAATTACGGCTCTATTTTCTACAAGAATAATGTCGTAAATATTTCTCTCCTGTTTCTTGTTTTACTCAAATTTACTCTTATCATTATTGTAAGTTCTTATTTTGTAAGTTTTCCTTACTTCTGTACTATCTATTTTCATGTTTTCTATGTCTAAAGGCTAGGGACACCTCAGTAAAACAGCATTGTTATGTTAACAACACCGAGTAGGGCCATCCCTCGGTCTTCCTTTTTTTTAATAAATGTATATTTATGATTGTAAATATATATTTGTTTATTTAAACAAAATAATAATAATGACGGAAATGAATAAAATACGGAGTGAGGGCATGATTGCATGTATGGCTCAAACGCCGTCGCACAGACTTCCGAAGAATTATCTCAATACATCACCACCAATGCCCCCATTCTATAACCCCAAAGAAATCATATTCGGAATACGTAATAGATCGCTGTAATTTTCCCACATTTTCGATAGGTGATGGGCAGGGCTATGCTATTGACATTTCTATATACTTTAGTTCAGGCGCAGATCATGGATTTCTTAGGGGGGGGGGGCAGGCCCAAATTTGAAATCAGTTTGAAGTTTATTATGCTGAAATCGTGCCGGCCGATATTTCGCTCAGTTGGGTGAGGGGGGGGGGCACACTCGGCCCCCCTGGACCCTCGCCTATACTTTAGGTTGATATTTCGAAAGTATTTGCGATCGTGTAGTAGTAAGAAATATAACAAGATTTTCAGTTAACAAAAACCCTAAATGATTGAACCAAATGATTTGTCATAAAAGATACAGATCATGAAGACGTTTTGCAATGTTTTCACCAAATCTTGATTGTATTCCTTTTCCATCGACATGCACTAAGCCGTAGGGGAGGTGGCAAAGCCGGCTAATATCCTTTTCCCTTTACAAAAGTAAGTGGCATATCGTTAGTACATAAGCCAAAGAATGTACACACCCACCCATGAGAGGTGATGTTTCTTAAGGGGGTTATCCATAGAATTTTGGTGTAAAAAGGACACCAGAAACTCACTTGACCAATTTAAACCAGAGCCTTGTTTCATACAACATGCTAATAATTAAAAGATAAAATACTTGTTATAAGCTACTGAAATCCTTACATATCATTGGCTGTGAACAGATTTGTCATAGATATGTGGCAGTTGTTATTGATAAACAGTCTTATGAAATATGCCACAGGTTTAACTTGGTCAACTTATATAAAGAGGAGCCATAAACTTAAGCCCAACCTTACAGGGATGTCATTTGATTGACGTAGAACTGCGTAAGCGACTAAATTGTTTTTGATATATTAATAATTTAAAGATCAAATTACCTTGTATTTTAACTACTGTGTGTGAATATTTACGTAAATGTGTATTATGAACTTTCTTTAAATCCTTTGTAATACTTTAATGTTTACTCACACCCATTGTGGTGTATTTTTAATGTATTTCAATCAGGACCATGGCGAACATAGCTTTGCTGATTAAGTCTATACTGAATAAAAACATGTTCAAATACAAAAACTATAACAAAATCAACTAGAAATGCAATCGTGTCAGAACGATATGCGTGCAATGACGCCATGTTTCTACCTGTCAAACGAAACAGCTTCTCTCGGACTATCCAGAGCAATCTGTACGAACTCTCTAGCTTATGTCATACTGGAGATAGGTAGGGCGAAATTAATAAAGGCCTAAAAACGGCCCGAAACGGACAAAATGGCGCCTGGAGAGTCACTCATGACTGATTCGAGAGAACAAAGATTTCAAAGACCTTGATAAAATGCTAGATACTGCGCCCAAAAGGGTTTGTAAGGAATTAAGATATAGGAAGGGATCTAGGAAGGGTTCGCAAGCACTGCGTGCAAAACCAATTGGATTTGGGTGCATGATGAACACGTGATGACGCGTGCTGTGGCACTAACAGCCGTCCATACTAACATAATCATGCAGAGTATGAAATAGCGTCTAAAATAGCCCCCTTGACGAATTTCAAAAATCCGGCGTTTGGCCACCCAGAATACGCTTTCGGATTTGAGTTTGCAGAGCGAAGATGCGGCATTTTGAAGGTCAAGCTATACGTCGCAGATGAAAGAACATATCTTAGACTATTTAGAGGAAATTGTTAGAACTCTGTAGGATCTAGGACAGTGGAGACAGGAAGGAAGAAAAAAGGCCATAAAACCGACCAGAAACGGACAAAATGGCGCCTGGATGATTATGCATGAGTGATTTCGGAAATCGAAAAATGCAGTTACCTTGATGATATGCCTATGAAATTTGAAAGGAAACGGACATGAGGAAAGGGCATAACTAGTGATTACAAGCATTACATGCAAAACGAATGCAACTTTCTGACGAAAACAAGGGGAACACGGAGAAGAAGAATATTAATGGGGCAGAATGTGACCGAAAACAAAGGAAACAAGGCAATGACGATATTCGTCATTGCAAAGAAGAAGTAAGAATATCAATAAGAAGAATGTAAACGAAACAAAGCAATGACGAAGATCGTCATTGCAATAAACATCGTACAAGAAATGACTGCAAAATGAACGGTCAGTGCACACACTGCTTCGAATTACTGGCGTGTGGGTTAATTTCATTCACAGGATTAATTAGCGCAGCTATGATAGCGCAATAGCGAAATGACGTTTGGAGTGCAAAGGGACTTACCCGGTTGATGTCCACCGCGATGGTGGCAGCGTTGGAGCTCTCGGTGATGTTTGCTGGAGAGTCGATGAGAAAGGTGTTGGATTGTCTGTCATAGTCGAAGGCTTCCGTCAAATGATCACCCTTTTCGTTCGTCAAGTCAGCTCTCTTGACCTGATTTAAATAATAGACAGATAAGGAAGATATCATTGAATTCAAACCTGATCGTAATTTTCTGTCATTTAGGGAAAGGGACGCTTTTAGAGGACCACAAATATACTAAATCAACAACGCATCTCTCTCTCTCTCTCTATGTAATATTTGCAGACCAAACAAATAAAAATGATAAATTTCAATTGCATTTGAAAGATAATACTTATATCGAACCTCCTTCAAAACGAAAGGGCTTGAAAATGTCTTTAAGTAGGGAAAATAACGACCTTTAGTTGTCGAATCGACTTTAGTGATTGCAATTGATTTAGTAAATAGTCTGATTTCCAGACCCTTGTACCGAATGGTTGTATGTTTTGTGCTGCACAAAGATTCAATCAGTTTAATTTTGTCCATTACAAGAAGTGGATTATTGATGTAAAAAAATGCTCATGTACCTTTACAGCTCATTCTGTTATTACCAAAGAAAGAAAAAAAAGCCAGTCAGTCAATAAAAAGAGTCTGACACTGAAGTTAATAAAGTAAATGGATTTCCTTGCATAATTTGAAAATTATGACACTGCTAATGCCTAAAGGACATACATATTCATTACTTCTGCAAAGTTCTAAACAATTTGATGTTGGCTGCAAAAGGGATACAGTGCCTTCATTTTTAACCAAGAATTTACTTATACACACATATACTGTACATCATGGTTGCATTCCTTTCCCCCTCTAAATCCCGTCTATATTCTCTTTTTCTCTCTCTCTCTCTCTCTCCCTCTCGATCTTTATATCTTTTTCTTTCTCTTTCTCTATCTTTCTCTCTATCTATTTCTTTATTTTCTGGGGTTTTTTTTAGGGGGGGGGGGAAGGGGGTATAAAATCGATGGAGTCAGGTGCCCCCACCCGCTGTCCCCGTAGCTACGCCACTGTCAAACAAACAAACCTTACCTTGTTTCCACTCAAGGTCATAGGTTGAGCCACCTGGTTGCCCACAGCTGGGCACATTGCCACGGGGTACCCACCGCTTCGAAATATGATAGCCGCTGCGATCAACCCAGAGGCCAGCACCGCCGCGGTCAAAACGGCTGCTACAAGGCTGGAGCAACCGCGGCTTGTCCCATGGTAAAAGCGTGGTGGCCCTGGGAATGGTGGTGGAAGGTACTAAGACAAAGAAGGGAGGAAAGATGTTCAAATTCAGATGATTTTGACATTAAGAAAGAAAAAAAAAAACTTATTAGTAATTATAAAATCTTAAATGTCGTAAAGTAATCAATGATTGTAGGATACACAATATATTATAAGCAATTATTAATTAAGACGAATTTTGAAGGAAAAAATAATTCCACTAAAAAGCAAAGCTTTCATTTGTGTGGATTACTCATGAATAGAACAAAAGAAAGGAAGAAAGAAAGAAAGAAAGAACAAGAAAAGAAAAGAAGCATGCGTTTAATTCTTACAAACTTTTGTTGACAGCAAAAAGCGTTTTGATTCACACATTCACCCACCCCCCCCCCAAAAAAAAACAAGAAAAGAATGAAAAAATTGAAGGAAGGATCCCACCTCTGGCATTTTTGATGCGGTCTTGGAGTCCATACTGCTAGGATACGAGATATGTCGTAAATATTGAAAGAAAGTAAGCTGTTGGATGAACCATCACTGTTCACTCTATAAAGTGATGATTTCGGCCGATTCCAAGCTGTTTAAAGCATTTTTAATTGAAAATGGACACGCCCCCTCCCGAATGACACTTTTCCTCTCGCAGTTCATTGGCTAATGGCATCAAACCTTAATTTCACCATATAAGTGCATGTTTTAAGAATCTAAGTATAGCTATTGTTTTGGAGGAAGTGTTGAAGGACCAAAATATGTGATAAACACATAGTCTATTAATCTGGGCCAGCCAACATTGTCTCTCTTTATTATTCTTGGTGACAGTAAATTGTTTTTTGGATGTGTTTCGTTTTCTCCTTATATCTATTTCATGTCACTCTTCCATAACATCGCTTACTTTTTTACTAAATCATTTTTGAGGGCTTTGCTTTACTCTTCCATTATTATTCTAACTCATAATTTCTAGTCAAATTAAAATCCCCCCTATTATAACATAATTATTACTTTTATTTATCTGTAGTTCCTGTAACCGTTGTATTTCCCCCTCTCTTTCATTCGTTGGAAAAGACACGTTACATAACACCATTCTAGTCCCTTGAATTTCACACAGTATATTAATATCGTCCACTATCGTCCTGCTCTATGTTTATGAGTTAAGCATCAACAGAAGTCTTGATAATAATGAGTACCCATCTGCTTTGATGATATGGCACAACCTTCTCTGTTGGGCAAACAATGAAAATACAAAAAAATGGAACGCCCGCCGGCGGGCGAGGCTAACCGCTAGGTGCCCTCCCCCTTTTGGGGCGCCGGCTTTCCGGGTCTTGCATATTCATGCACATGCACTGCCCCTTAAAGAGACTTGGTAACATTGTTTAGATGAGAGAAAGTGGTGCTAAGGTAGTGACTTCAATGCTAGATATATAAGTAAAGAAAATCAGAAAATCCGAGTGAAAACGGACCATTTAAAAAAATACAAATTGGGAAAAACTGATCTGATCAATTCCTTAAATCTGCCAACTATATAATTACAATTTAATTACATTTTAGGTGAATGTAAATTGTCACAAAGCAATAAATCGGCTCCACATACCATTTAAGTGTTGACAGATTTTTGATAGCCTGTTTTATGTCTTGCGAAAATTCAAAAATGGTTGGGAGAATTAATAGTTAATCACTGTAATATGAGGGTGTTGCACAGTGACGCCTTCAAAGAGAACGAGAATTTGTCCAGGATATTTTGTATATCAGAGGGTTGGTACAGTAGAAGGAATATAATAAGTAACATTTTATACAAAAATTAAGCATTTTTTCATCAACCTTCAACAATTTTTCCGAGTCACTTTTAATAATGGTCGCTCCATTGTTTACTTCCATTTTTTTAACGGGGCGTTGTGGCGTGCGCCTGTAATCCAGCTTACAATGGAAGATACAAACTGATTCAGCCGAGGACGCAAGTTCGAAAGTGAGTCACGTCTTTCGAATGGTGACGTTAAAGGTCGATTCACAGGGTTCTAGGAAATTTACCCCCGGGGCAATCACCCCCCGAAAATTATCCCCCGGAAAACAATCCCCAAGGTCAATAACCACCAGAAAATTACCCCCCCCCCCCGGAGAATTACCCCCGAGAACAACTACCTCCCAAGGACAATTACTCCCCGGAAAATTACCCCCGGAGGATTACCCCCACGGACAACTTCCCCCGCGAAGGAGTGTAGCTCCAGAACGAGAAGATTTTTGCAGTTTTATTTGTCTTAACGCTGCACTCTTGGGCCCTCCAGAGCCTAAAAGTGTATCGCAGCCTTTAGTCAGTATTTGCGCTACACATCATATTTTTTGGCGCTTTTTCAAATTTTCAGGGAGGTGGAGGGGGACGTGTCCCCCCGTCCCCTTGGGATCGCCGCCTTTGGTTCTTACCACTGTTTACCCTAAATAATGAGTTCGTCCAAATTTACAAACTTTTAAAGTTACCTTTAAAGGTAAAGACCAGTTTCGGAAACGCCCCCCCCCCCCCCTGTAAAAAAAATGAAATGGAAGCTCTTATTATACCAATGATGTGAAAGAATATGTTTTGACTAAGACGTGATGATAAAAATTCTGCCGAGAAACTGCCTACTAATTGATTTATTTGGTAAAATATTATATCTATTTGGACCTGATAGATATTTCGCACGTGTCGCGTAGTCCCCATATACATCTTTCTGTGTACAGTGCTTGTAACATTACCAAGACTGGGCCAAATTTCTTATCATTTTGATGATTTCAGAACCTTACATTACACACCAATACTTATATGCTAGATGATCAACCATTTCTGATCGATTCCACAACGTTTTTTTCACAATGCAATCGCATGGCCATAACTGGTCTTTATCTTTAATGAAAATAGACACGCCCCCTCCGGAACGACATTTTTCCTCCCGCAGTTCATTGGCATGGCATCAAACTTTAATTTCACCATATAAGTGCATGTTTTTAAATAATAAAGGTTAGCTATTGTTTTGGAGGAAGTGTTGAAGGACAGAAATATGTGATCAATTACACATGGTCTATTCATCTGGGTCAGCCAACATTGTCTCTCTTTATTATTCTTGGTGAAAGTAAATTGTTTTTTGGATGGGTTTCGTTCTCTCCTTATATCTATTTCATGTAACTCTTCCATAACATCGCTCACTTTTTTTACTAAATCATTTTTGAGGGCTTTGCTTTACTCTTCCATTATTATTCTAACTCATAATTTCTAATCAAATTAAAATCCCCCCTAATATAACATAATTATTACTCTTACTTATCTGTAGTTCCTGTAACCGTTGCATTTCCCCCTCTTTTTCATTCGTTGGAAAATACACGTTACATAACACCATTCTAGTCCCTTGAATTTCACACAGTATATTAATATCGTCCACTATCGTCCTGCTCTACGTTTATGAGTTAAGCATCAACAGAAGTCTTGATAATAATGAGTACCCCTCCGCTTTGATGATATGGCACAACCTTCTCTGTTGGGCAAACAATGAAAATATAAAAAAAATGGAACACCCGCCGGCTGGCGGGGCTACTGCCAGGTGCCCTCCCCCTATTTGGGCGCCGGCTTTTCGGGTCTAGCATATGCATATATTTAATAATAATAATAATAATAATTTATTCTTATTGAGCGCTACTACAGACAAACTTATCAGAGCGCTATACAACAGAAAAGAAACATACAAATGATAACAATTAAACAAGGAACAGTAATTAAGATATTATGAACGAAAAGAAAATTTAGCTACTCAAAATGTACATTATGGATTCAAGATGGAAAGAGTTGGGTTTTAAGTTTCTCTTTGAAAGTGTCTTCTGTACTACATAGGCGGAGGTGTTGTGGTAGAGTGTTCTAGGTGGATTCACAGAGTTACAGTACTTAAAAAAACATCAGAATAAGAATACTGTTTAGACATTTCTAGTGTGACAACAAGAAAGTGAGAGAGATAATGGAAAGTTATGTAGGTGAGCATGATCTCCTCATCACAATATAAGATAGCTACAGTGGTTTGGGCGTGTAACTAGGCGTAAGACTAGCTTGACAAACACCATCTTGCAAGGAGGAACTGATGGAAGAAGAAAGAGGCGTAGACCAACAAGTACATGGACTGATAACAGGGACTTTTAGATGAGTGAACGAGAACGGTGTGAACGTCCACTAATCATGTGTGCCCATGGCAAGCCGTTTTAACATTTATTCCTATTGCTTAGTATCAAGAAATGATTTTCTGTTGGGGGGTGGGTGCAGGGGAAAGCTTTGACGTTTCATCAAATTATTAGAGAAAGAAGACGATTCGTTGGACCGTTCTCGACTCTTAATCCTTATCTAAATTCAGTTTCTTTTGACGTTTCATTAGAAAAAGAAGACGATTCGTTGGACCGTCCTCGACTCTTAATCCTTGTTTGAATCAAGTTCCCCTTATTTCGGGCGTAGCGCGGAAGCTCTGACGTTTCATTAGATTATTAAAGAAAGAAGTCGATTCGTTGTACCATTCTCGATCGACTCTTAATCCTTGTCTGAATTCGGAAGCTTTGACGTTTCATTAAATTATTAGAGAAAGAAGACGATTCGTTTTACAGTTCTGGACTTTAAATCCTTGTCTGAATTCAGTTTTCCCGCTCCCGTGCCGAAGCGGAAGCTTTGACGTTTCATAAATTATTAGAGAAAGAAGACGATTCGTTGTACCGTTCTCGACTCTTAATCCTTATCTGAATTCAGTTCCCCACCCCCCCTCCCCCTCCCACGCGAAAGCGGGAGCTTTGACGTTTCATTAAATTATTAGAGAAAGAAGACGATTCGTTGTACCATTCTCGACTCTTAATCCTTTTTCTTCCTACGTCCTCTTCCTTTCTTCTTTTTTTTCTCTCTTTTTTTTTCTTTTTTGGCCGGCGTTTTTTTGGGGCGACCGCCCCACCGCCCCCCCCCTGGCTACGCGCCTGCCCAGTGTGGATCACACTTCTCTGGGATTCTGAAATATTTTGTTGTAAAATGCTCAGCCCATCATTATTTATTACCTGGTAACCCTTATAATACATGTAAGTTCAAATGATCTCCAGGTATCCGAAACCATAATAAATATTAAGCATATGTTTAGCGCCATCTCCAACATTCCATCTGTAATCTCGAAGGAGGACCGTTCCACGAACCTTTGGCAACAGTTATTTGACTCTAACTTTATAATGTTTTTGTAGTGAGGGGGAAGGGGCTCGTAACACAAATATAGTTCAAGTCTAACAAGGGCATACATTTGCTCGACATACACCTAACAAAAAGATATCGAGATTCTTTGGGCGATCACTTTTAGGACGATTAAAACCTCAATCTCATTGTCTGTCAAAGGTCGATGGGAATTCCCAATAGCTAACAACAATGATTTCGACAAAATTAAGCACATACATGCATAGTACTACTGTAGCAAACTTTGATCGGTGCACCGTTGCATTGTATAGGCAAATGGTTTACATTTTTACTGATTTTTACGGACTGTTACGTAGTTACGGGAAAAGAGGTGAGCGAATTAAAAATTGCTGTCATTTCCAAAAGAAATGCAGTGACATTTTGCAATATTTTCGTTTTACATTGTCGTAGTTATTTATATTAGGCTGACTCCCAGACATTTTGAGGATTTGATGGTATCTGGTTTACAAAATCTTAATTTTCAAAGACTCAAATAGTTGGGTTTGGGGGTATGTCTTTGAGGTGATAAATGGAGAGCGATTGAGCTAAGACCAAGCTGATAATGGCGGGTGTTTATGAAATGATATCAGTTTGGTAAACCATGAAATAACAGGCTGCAAAAACAATTCAAAATAAAATATAGCTTTGAAACGAGACCATAAGAGTTAAATGTCCTCGATCGTGAACCCGGAAGTAAATTTTGTCGCGTTAGAATTTTTTTGATCACATTGATATCGTCCTGATATATAACTTCTCAGTGTTTGTTTGTCCTGAGGAAAAATTTTGGTATGTTATTGTGATTTGAGGTACAAATTTGTCATGACTAATTATTCTTAAATGAAGCTATAAACGCACATGGTACATATTTCAGATTATTATGCGATTCTATATCAGCTAGAGATTCTGCCAAACCAGAGCAATCTATATAATTCAATAATAGTATATTCAAGTGTGTAAAAGTACATGTTTATAGTACTGCTTTCGATACGTCACAGGTTTAAGAATTGATACGAAATGTTGCCTACTAAGTTTTAGAGTTGTCCAAAGCCTAAACTCCATGTTCAGAATAAGGTATGTTTATCTGCATCATATCTGAAGGTAGATCACGGATCACATATTTTTCGTTCAAATTTCACGAATTTGTAATACTTGGTGTTGTGTACTCTTAACTAAAGGTACACAGGTGAATACTCGAGACAGATAATTAGTAAACGTCTGATACTCTTGGTAAAATATTCCAAAGCAAGTTTATTTCGCTCGGCGCATGCGCAGCTACACAATTGTGACTCATGGCATGACATCATCATCAATATATGACACTTAGTTTCAGATTAATGAAGAAATAATGTAATGAGTATTGTTCCAATGACAAAGTGCTAAAATGTGAATAGTAAACTACACTTCTGAGGCTCATGCTTACATTTGTTGTTTTGTTTTTCCACCTTTTGCCTTTATTCCATGGATTCAGGACTCCACCTAATGCAATGTATTATGCCTTGTACACAATTTAAATATCATGACTAGTTGCAATGCATGTAGAGGTGTTATGGTCTTTTGTACTAGATATGTTGACTGACTTTGAATCACGTGGTTCGTGGTTCGAGTCCCACCACAGAACTAATGTCCTTCGGCAAGACAGCCTTTGTCACTCTCCACCCATCCCAGGTGTATAATGAATGGGTACCCGGTAGGAAGAAATTCCGTGAATGCTTATGAGCACATTATCATGGTAGGTAATTGGCTAATACTAAAGCCGGGGTAGTAATATGATTGCAGGGCCCTCGGGGAAAACAGTATATGTACTGATGAGGATCTGGTTAAACAACTTGAGGCATTATTATTACTATGACGAGTATTGTTATCATTAATATTGTGATCATCGTTATTGTTATTATAAAAAAAATACTTTTCTTTAAAATAAGATCAGATGAATAAGAAATACACTAATCATTATGTTTTTCCTTTTCTTTTATCTCGTATTTCTGTAGAATTAGAATCATGGCTGAAGCATTAAAGAATGTCATTGCTCAGAGTCTGGAGTGTCCTGTATGTCTGAATACCTTCACCGATCCCAAAATCCTGTCTTGTTCTCACACCTACTGCAAGACCTGTCTGGACAACCTCTTGGAATGTCATGGTAACGACCAGATGCTCCGATGCCCTGTTTGCAGAGCTGAAACCCAGGTTCCAAACCAAGATGTCGGCAAATTACCGGCAAATCTAGCTTTGAAGTCTCTCATAGAGGACGTTACGAATCAATATCAGTTTTGCACGAGTTGTAAATCCGAAGATCAACCCCAAGCTGTTGTTTACTGTCAAGACTGTGGCATGTATCTCTGTATCATTTGCCACAACAAACACTCTCAGTGGCCAAACTTCATCAGTCATGAGGTCTTAGCCATAAGTGAGATCCTTTCAGGTAAGGTGTCAGTACGTAGGTACCGTAAATGCAGGAAACACCCAAAAGAGGATGAGGAGTGCTTCTGTTCCGACTGCAGGAGATTTGCCTGCTTCAGATGTGTTGTCATGGAGCATACAAAGGAAGGACATGATGTCATCGAGGCAGTTGTTTATGAAAACAGCCATATGAAGAGTATCGAGGACCTCAAATCTAAAGCGGACAAGAAACGCTCTTGCTTTCAGAAATACGTTGATTTCATTGATGAACAGAAGGAGCGTGTGAGCAATGTTCAGAAGCAGTGTACAGATGATATCAACAAAGCATATGAAGAATCAGTCCGGCAGTTGACAGAGAAGAAAGAAATCCTCATTTGTGAAGTCAAGGGTAGGATCGAAGGAGTACAGAACGAACTGGACGAAATGAAGAAATCGACACAGGAGCACATCACTCACTTGACCACTATAGCTGACGTGGTAACCAATAGGACAAAGGTACCGTTAGATATGGCTGCTTTGGCTGCACACGACACTCTATGTCAAGACTTACAAGAGGCCTTGAAACGAGAAGATCCTGACTACAAGCAGCCGAGGCAATCGAGCAAGAAAGGAAGAAGTGTCAGTTTTAAGAAAAACGTTGGAATGGACGAGCTATGTCTTGGTGAAATCGTTAATACAGTGGCAGAGAACATCGCTTTGCCTACCAAGGATAGCATGAATGCCATGGTTAGTACACCTGACGGTAGGATGGCAGTGGGATGTAGTAAAGGTGGCGTGGAGATCTTCTCTGCTGATGGTCAGCTCAAGCAGACAGTTTTCAAGGATGTTAAGATTTGTGGAGTAGGGTTCCTCTCTAATGATCGGTATGTTATACTCGATGGCTCAAACAATATCTCCCTGTACACATTCGAGTACACAAAGCTGAATGTAATGTTTGAAACTCTAAATGACGATGGTGGATGGGCTAGCCTCACTGTAGACGGCGATGATAAGATCTATGTTAGCTACATGAAAGCCAAGAAGATCCAGGTATTCTCACCAGCAGGTGGGAAGGTGATCAGGGAGATACCATATGATGTGGGTATAATGCAGATTACTAGTTATAATAATCACCTGATCACAAGATCTTGGTTTACGATACAATTGGTTGACAAACAAGGTATAGTAAACTTTAAATTAACGGAATTGGGTTGTTTCACATACGCTGCTGTGTCTCAAGAGAATACAATCCTGATAGCCAAGTTAAAGCACGACGTAGGTCTGGTCAGCATTGATGAGTACACTAACGAGCTGAAGCATGTTCAGAACCTCGTCACTGATTACAAGATTGAGAAGCCCAAGAGAGAGTGGTACTATCTCCAGCAATACCGATCAGGAGAGATCGCTTTCTGTACTCGTGATAGACTCTATATATTCCACTGAATATAACAGATGATTTCCCATTTCTTACACTGTATGATATCACTGTCTTCAGGCTCGTATGAAGAGTGAGGGGGGGGGGGCGATTTGTGCGACCGGACTCCTTTTATGTGGTAAAAACATGCAAGCTGACATTTTAAGAGTAACATGATTATTCCGTTGAAAAAAACCCATCTCCGCCTCTTTCTTTCTTCAAAAAGCTTCAAACAGTTATATCTTGAAGAAGGTGAAATGGAGTTTTGGTGACTGTTTTAGAAATCACATTCCAAGATAATGTAGATCACTTTGAACCTTTCTAAAAAGTAAAATTTCTGCTAATATTCTTCGAAATTCTATTGTGTTTATCTTTCAAAATGTTGTTGTTGATGAATACTCTACATGTGAATCTGACTTTTTGGTAGCTGTTATAAATGATTTAGACACAATTTAATTGTGGAGTAAAAGATTGTTTTACAGTAGGAGAGATAATCATCATAGTAACGGAATCTATATGTAATACCGTTTAATACAATGAATATTTCTCCTTCATGTTCTAAAATGAATTTCAGATCAATGTCCGACTATTCTAGTTTTTAAAATTTACCCAGAATCATGATAGGAAATGCCACTTTGTCAAAATAACTTCTACTTCTTATAATTTCTCTAGTTGTGTATACTTAAGATTTAATGATTTTTGAAAGTCGACATTTTGATTGTATCATGTATGTTGCCAAAGTATTGTAAAAGCAACTGTGAAAATAAGGGTTTATGTTTTCATTTGATGGACTGTGATATCTTGTTTTCTGTTTTCTTTCCGTCTGGCAAAGTTCATGGGAGAAATGGCATTGAACTTGTCTCAAAACCCGATTCGTATAATTCACTTTTTGTACATATTTCATTTTGTGTGTGTTTCCTTTTGTCTCAGTTTCTCTTTTTCATATATTGTTGATATACATAAGTGTTAGTCCTATCTTAACTCACAAAAAATATAAAGTACGTATTATAAATGAATCTCACTAATTTCAATTAAAGAAGAGGAATGAGAAAAATTGGTTTAACAAGTTTTAGAAAAATCAGAACATTTGTAATTTTACAGCTAGGCATACTTTCTGTTTACTTTGTACTAAAGATTTCATTAAAATTTATCACTGCATTTTCTTTGTCATATAAAATTGTAAACAAATTTTCACAAATACACTATCATCAAAAAATTATTTTGAAGACAAAAAGAAAAGAAAATTGGGGGACATTTTCCATACAAATGTAAAAAAAAAAAAAACTGAAAAAATTGAGAGTTGATCTTATTTAGGGGTGCTGATCTATAGGGGACTTAATTACAATGTTACAACAATATTAATTTCTTAGTTTTTGAAAATATATTTTCCCCAGTTTCTTAATTTCTTCTCATTAACGTGATTTCAGGTGGACTTCCCCTTGTAATATGTATCCTTATTTTTATAAGAGAAAGGCCCTTTCATGTACATTAGTATCCATCCTGCTCATACTCAACGTAACAGAATCTAAAATATAAAGGTTGCTATAACGATATGACGGTTTCGTAAAACGCTTGACTGACACATGTTTCCTTACGTCTGTGCACTGCAAGGAGTAGGAGGAGTCTGTGTATGTGGAGTAATAGCTTCGATCGTTTTTTTGTTTTTTTTTATCAACAGCAAGCGAAGAAGTATGTTAAAGAAAGATATTTCCGAGGGTTTACTAACTAACTCGGCTTCGGACCACGATAATGATGAACGAAGATTACAAACTATATAAACACAAAAAGTATATAAAACAATTAACTTACAGTTTTTCTTGCAACACATTAGTCTAATTTGAACCTTTGTTGTTTCATGGATTTGTAATATTATGTCATACACTATGATATATATTTCCGTGGTAGGAATGTTGCGATTTGTCATTTTATTGTAATCTGTTACAAATATATACATTTCACTTTTGATTATATCTTTTTTTATGTCGGCAACCTTTAAGGGTTACTTCCTTTATGGCTGCCACCTTACAAGCAACTTTGATATCTTGGTACCGGTGTATAAACATGTTTTCTATTATTTTCATTTTACAAAATGTTATTTCATGTACACGTTTGTTTGTTATTCTTTGTCAATTGAATTGAATTGCAACAAAACTATAGTTATTGATATATTTTATATAGTACAAATATTCGTTGATGAAATTTATTTACAATAATATAAGTTTTGTGGTGTTTGTACTTTAATTTTGCTAACCAAATAAATTTCGAGTTTCTCATCGAATTCAAGTCTGAATTTTACACCGATGTTATATATGGCAGTTGAAAGAGCTGTTATGCAAGAGAGTCGCATTAAAGGGCTATCCAATAAAAAAAACACAGACCCCGATCTCGGATTTTGACAAATTAATGTCTTTACAATTTTTTTGTGTTCAAAGAAATTCAAAAATTGTCCGGCGCTACGTCAAAGCCCTACGTAACGTAATTACAACTTGAAATGAAATAATCATGAATTTCTTTTGGTTAGATTTCAATTAAACTTTCATCAGTCTGTTCTCTGATTCTTCTACTTTCTTTTACAGTAGTTTGCTATTAAGGTTGGATTGCCCTTTAACTTGCATGTGGTTTTGGACTAACTAATAACATATAGAGTCATGTTGGAAATGATTTAAGGCTAGCAAACTTATGGAATATCATAAGAACTATTAAATAAGTTCATCTTGTACAGCTTGTAAAACCAAATAGAGGGATAAAGAAATATAATTACGACAAAAATATAAAGGAGAATTTGAGGAACATAGATGATGTAGACTTAAAAAGATAGACTGAAGGAAATATATCAGTGTCTTGCTTTCGTAGAACTCTTATATCACAAATGTTAATAGAATAGTTGTTTATAACTTATAACCAAGGCTCTTGCCTTTTTGTAAATATTATGTTATATAATTCTTCATCTTTTATTTAGTGTAAAATACCAAAGCGTTGTATATAAGCACAGAAAATATTTACCCTAGATGTAGAATAGTTTGTAGCTTAAGTATGTATTCAATAGTTATTCATATTTATTCATTACATTCTCATTTATTGCTGTGATACTTTTTGTGTGTTAGTGGTACTAGACACGATTAGCATTAAATGCTATTTTCAGGTCCCATTTATCCTTTCAATGTTAATTAATCATTCACATTTGATTGTTATATTGATGTACTTTTTGTTTTGGATAATAAACTTCAAACTCAAACTCAAACTCATATGCTTTTATCGAGGAAGAAAGAGAAGGAGGAATGGTTGAAATAGAATAAGACAAAGAAATTGGAAGACTTAGTGGGTGTGGGGGATTTTATGGACATGTGTGTGTGTGTGTTAGAGAGAAAAACAATGTGGGTCTTTTATGTAAGTGGGTGAGTGCGGGTGTGTGTGATTATATTAGTTGAACTTGTTTTAGCTTCTTTCTTGTTAGATTTGTCAAATATTTGTCAAAACAGAAAAATCCTGATTCCTAGGAGATTGTGGCGTCGCATCCGACTTTTCTCCATGATCGTCATCAAAAGAATTCAAGCACAAACATTAGTAGTCAGTGTCAACATTTTTCAACTTAGACAGGGGACTCAAAAAAAGGAAATAGTGACCTGAAGTCGGTGTGACACCACCGTAATATTACCCCCTGTTTAATGTGTACACATCTGAAAAAATGACAGTTATGACACTGCCTTTTGTTTTTCCCTTGTTGGATTTTTTTTCCTTCTAAATCTTGATTTTAAAAAAAAGAGAAATAATTTTTCTCTTCTTGACTTCATTCTCGGCGATTGTTAAAATCTGAGTACTTTTTTTTTCTATGAATATATAGAAAATTGTTAGAAAACTAACTAGTTAGAAAATGTGGCATTAACACCCCATCCCCATCATGAATGGAATAGAGATGCACCAGAACCTACATAGACCCATTGCAAGAGACAAATGCCATTTTGTATACCGGGATGGCATATAGATTTATTCTAGAATACATTTGTAACATTTACATATTCACATTTAGTAGATAATTTCGTGTATCGAATCTCCATGAAGTTAGATGGATAGACTCTGACTGGCATGCCGATATAAACATACAAACATTTCATGATAACACAGGTACATACTCTAATTGTACATCCACGGAGGTGACGGAATTACTGTACTTAAACAAACATCAGAATAAGAACACTGTATAGACATTCCTAGTGTGACAACAAGAAAGTGAGAGAGATAATGGAAAGTTATATAAGTGAACATGATCACTTCAACACAATTGTGAAACGAAGATAGCTACAGTGTTTTGGGAATGTAATAACTAGATGGAAGATTTGTTTGACAAACATCATCTTGCAAGAAGGAACTGATGGAAGAAGAAAGAGGGGTAGACCAACAAGAACATGGACTGATAACATCAAGCAGTTGACAGGTATTTCATTTGAGCTGCTAACCAGAACAATTTTCATTTTGTCTAGAAAATGACATTACTTTCCATATTGTTGCATGGATTTCAAACTGTACAATGGACAGTCCACATCTAGCGACACGATGATCATTTTATTTTATTTTTCCAAACAATCTGTACATTGATGAGGCAATCATTAGCCTGTGAGAATCGTACCGAGTCCAAACTATCACAGTTGTTTAGGGATTTCAAACTGTTTGTAAAATGGCCTGCCCCATGTGACATGGCGAAGATTTAATCCAGATAATAATATTAATCTTCATGTATCCACACTGTTTGATGGTGAGTCCCTTGTGTCCTGATGATGATCATCATACTTGGTCAAACGACTCAAGGTCATCGGGGATTCCAAAATCTTTGTAGAGTGGCCCATCTACTAGGTTACCTGATGAGGTACACACTGAGAGGCAATCTCGTTCAGATATGACATGGCGAAACTGTATCATCTTTCTTTTCATGAATTAAGCTGTAAAATATTTCACATTTCTGTATCTTATAACGCAGAGCTCAGTGAATACGCTTTGGAACTTTGTTAAATGCAGTTGCCATTTATTTACACGTACAAAACTGCCAAGGCTTTTTTTGGGGGAGGCTGCTTATGCACCATATCTGAGGGTTCAAGGGTTCCAAATTGTTCTTACAAAGTACAGTCTGTTCACTCAATGATCATCATACTCGGTCCATACTCCTCTGGGGTTCCGAAACGGATTATGTACAATGCTCAGTCCAGCATTGTCACCTGATAAAGATCTTACTCAGTCCAAGTAATCAAAGTCTTCAGGGATTCCAAACTGTTTGTCAAGTAATTTCTCCTCCAAACTGAATTTCTTCTTGCACCACGACTTGATAGAGAATACATTGTCTGCAATGAGAATGACAAGTTACAAGAAGTGAGAAATGGATCATGCACATCATTGCCAATCGGCCAGATAATCAAGAAAACAAAGAGACATGGTTATATAAATTATGCAAATGTTAAAATGACTTTATTTTCACCATCCTAATGGGGCACTCGCCAGGAAGGACATGCAGCGATTGGAGGCGGTCAAAATGTGTTGCTGGCGCAAACTACTAGGTGTGTCCTGGAGGGACAGAGTTTTGAATGAAGAGGTATTGCATCGAGCTCAAGAAAAGCGGGTGCTGCTTCAAACGATCAGAGAGAGACGGAAGAAATGGCTTGGACACATAAAGCGGTACGATAATGGCTTGATGATCAGAGTCATATAAGGTCGTATACATGGAAAGAAGAAGAGGGGAAGACCTCGTAAAGGCTTTCTAGACGATGTAATCACAGAATGTGGAGCAACAGGGTATGAAATGCTAAAACGGATGGCTCAATACCAAGGTACTTGGAGAGACGCTTGATATAGAATTCTAATTGGGTCACCGAACCTGTCATAAATTGACAGATCACTATTGATGATGAATGGGTTATATACAGACAGAGTCTAATTTCCAATCATATTGCACTGATAATTGCTCAGTGACTCCAGTAAGCATCAACACTAAATATCACCGACTGAAATCGTACCAATTTCACTTCTTCTCTATCGAATAGGCCATTTTCGTAATGTTACCAAATATTTTAATGCATACGTCTTCTTCAAGTGCATCAATACATATTATGTCATTCATCTGTCACAAATAATTGCATATTATTGTTGTTAGGTAGGGCAAGCAATAATGTTTTTCTGACCTAGCAAAAAGCTAATATATTCAATTCACATTTTGACTATTGAAATACAATTATTTATGACAGATGAACGACATAATTATTGAGGCACCTCACAAAGACCTGTGCACTAAAATTTGTTATATTACGTACATGTATATGGCCTATTACTTTATATTGGTCGAGATTGGTGATTTCTCTGTACTACATTTAAATAGTCCTTAAACAAGGGATCCCAGCAAAACAAAGCCAATGTTTAACAAGACAGTATGACAAACCTGGAGATGCTCTTATAGCTTGCATATGACATTTTTCCTTTAGAATAGTAGCCCAAGGTACTATTCATAAAATATCTTACAATAAAAATATCTGCCTTGCCTAATTTTAACTAAAAACTTCATGACAGCCTTACCTGTCCATCTGTTTGTTGCTTCCTTGGCAACCGCTGCCTCTGCCTTGACCTCCTCGATTACTTCCGGGTCACATTCTCTGAATCGCTCTAGCTCTGCATCTAACCTGCCGTTATCTGTCTCCTTTTCGGATAAGACCTTTAGAAGCTCCCCCCTCTCATCCTAATCAGAGGAGATAAAAAAAGAAGAAAGAGAGAAAATTATTGGAAGTTACTGTATTTTAGCGTGCCGTTCCCTGTCTCTTATTCTGATAAGACCTTTAGGAGCTCCTCCCTCTTATCCTAATCAGAGGAGAGGAAAATTAAAGAAAGAGAGCAACATTTTTGAAGTTATTGACTTGTAGCTCTGCATCTAACCTGCCGTTCTCTGTCTTTTTTCTGATAAGACCTTTAGGAGCTCCACCCTCTCTTCCTAATCAGAGGAAAAGGCAAAATTAAAGACAGAGAAAAGTTCTTGAAATTACTATCTTGTATCAGGATCTGCACCCAGTCTATTATTTCTGCTCTATTTTGATTGGGTCTATATACTTTCCATTATAAAATTCAGAGCTTTTCCATCTTTAAGCCTTATAATGGAATTTTTTTTTTTTTTTTACTGATGAACATTTTTATAGTAGTGCATTCAAATTTTCCAGTTTCAGACAAATACTTGTAATTTCAAGTCAAAGTTTTTTTTGGAATAAGTAGCAAAACTGCTTCAAATTTTACATGAGAAAAAAAAAATTCTTTAATAGCTACAAGAATAAGGTACACAAAAACTCACTGATTCCTCTTTACCGACTGTTGACTTGGCTGCAGTTTTCTCTAAAGCTATCCGCTTCTTTTCACTTTCATCTAAGGCTTTGGTTAGATCTTGAATTTTCCTCTTCCTCTATAAATAAGTAAATCAAGAAATAAAGTAATGAATGGAGAAAGAAAGAATGAATGAATAAATTTTAAAAATTTGATAAATAAATGAATAAGTAGATAAATAACAAAAGATAGAAATATACTAGTCAATATTTGGTTTAAGATCTTGAGCTTAGATTAAATGATAATGCATGAATTACGATTTTCTATATCTCTGTGTGCCTACCTATTGTAATACGAGGTAACTTTGGAATAGTCGGAAGCTCACAACAGGTTAGCAGTGTAAAGTTACTCTGCGATCCTTTTCAGCCATAAGAGGGTAACCTAGATCGCACAATGAAGACCAAAACTCTAGAGCTTCAGAGACATGATAAGGTTCAACTATTAGATCACCAATGGAGAACCATTAGCTAAAGAACTTGGTATTTCTTCATGTCCATTGACACATAGTGGGAAAAGAGTGCTGGAAGGCGAAAGTACAGAAGAATTCAGGCACTCTTTGTTTACAGGTCACTTCCCTTGGCAGACGATGGATACACATTACATACATATTTAGAAGAAATTTATGATTTTCTTATTTTGCACTGCAGTGCGACTCTCTATTCCATGCGCAGTTTCCCGATTCGGGTACTTTATCATTTGCTTCTTATGATGAAAGTTGTTTAAATTTCATGCGTCTTGTTGCGGTGTGCACAATACAGAATAATTTTTAATATCTTTTATCTTTTATAAGTGTATTTATAATTTATATAAGTATTTCTTTGTTTTGATGTATGGCAAACGTTTGTCCTCATGTTTCAAGTATTTAAAAGTATGAAATAAAATGAATTCTGTGGTAAAGATTTGAAATTTGTACAACTGAATGTTGTTAGTCTTTTGAAATACTATGATGAAATCAAGGCTATTGCGTGTGAAAATGTGATCCATGTTTTTGCTCTGAATGATACCAGACTGGATGGCAATATATTAGGTTGTGAAATCCAGAATGCTCACTACAATGTTATTCATACAATGTAAGGACAGTAATAAAAACGGTGGAGGTGTACTGACTTATATTCATGAAAGCTTGGGCTATGAAGTGTTGAAACATAGTTTGTTATTGTGAATGGAAGCAATTGCATTATTGATACGGAAAAGGAAACATGAGTCCCATTGCATTTTTGAATTGGTACAGGCCTCCAAATTCTAAAGCTGAAATACTCACTGACTATAAAGACATCTTAGTATATGCCAACGGGATTGATTTCTGTTTTATTGTTATGGGTGATGTCAATTGTAATACTTTGAAAACCCTGTTAGAAGGGGCAACCAAGAAATCTAATCAAATCAATGATATATATTGTTTGAACCAGATCAATATGGCTGATGTACAAGAATAACAACAGCTGCGCCTTTTTGGTTGATCACATGTTATGAAATTATAATTTGCCTGGGAAATTGATGTTTCGCCATTATTCTTTGTTGTTTGTTTATGCATATTGTATTGTTTTACTGTACCATTTCTGATCCCCATGGAAGACCAGCGGCATCATACTGCTGAATATGGGCTATCAAGTCATTTATTTTATCTTGTAATTCATTATTCTATTTTATTGTTTTACTGAATGCATGTTGTCTTTTTATATGGAAAAAAATAAATAAAATCAATAATGGGCAAAATTTGATGTGCAAGTAGATTCAAGGTTAGGGTTGAGTCTAAAGTTGATTTTACGATTAGTTTTAGGATTAGGTATAGTGTTTTCCTGATTCCTTTTCCAAATTGTTTATATTAAACTGTAATATTCATAGTTATAATACTGGAAATGCTAACATTTTTTTTTCTTCCAAGGACCGTTTCTGTGGAACACTCTTCCGCATTATATTCATAATTCTGCTAGTGTAAATGTATTTAAACGTAGGTATAAGAATTGGGGGGGGGGGGGGTAAATTGCAATAATCATTTGAATTCAAGACATATTTTATTGTTTGTCTGTTGTCTTGATTTGTATATTGTTTAATGTTTAGTAATGAATATATTTCATATCTAAAAGGGTCAACCTTTATATAAGGATTATGTTTCCTTTCAGGTTGTAACCTATTCAGTTTATTTTATATGTTCTTGATGTGTATTTCATCTTATATAGCTGATTGTTATATGAAATGTTGTCTTTTAAACTGAATGTAATAAAATTGAATTGAATTGAATTGAACTGGTCCAAAACCAAAATTAGGACTTTGGTTTTAGGAAGATGACCATGCAATTATTGTTGGCGGAGAATGTGTCGTCATTTCAGTAAGAAGGCAGGCGACCACACTTACCACTTGACTGGCCTTACTTGGGAAGGCCCAGTAGTAATTAGAGGTTCCTATCCTATCTGAGTCCACCAATCCATCATCTACAAGACTCTGAAGCACATCTTTGACTGCCATAGGTGCTGCAAGCAAAGTAAAAATAAAGTAACTATAAATAAACAAGTGTTGATGGTCAAATTCAATCTCTTATTACAATTTTTTTACAAGAGGACTTAGATATAGTTGTGCAATGGTGGCTTATAGATTCTCTTGCAGGAGAGGAAGGGGGAGGGGTGGTCATGGTTATGCACACACACACATTTGACAAAGATTTTGCTAATACATTTAATATGTTCATAATTCAATTCAAATATCTAACTCTTAAAGTAGATAGATCTGTAAAAATATACAAAGTTCTAAAGAATGCACTTTGTATGTAAATGTTTAGGTAATTAGGTTATCAAGGAAAATGTGAGCTTGATTTTTTTCTCCCTTTTTTCATCATTTTTACTGTTCAAAAGAAGCATCTGCATGTATCTAGGGGCAAGATCAGAAATGCAATCTATTCCCTGAATCAAAATATAATACTAAAATCCCGGAAATACTTTGTCTGAATATAAGATCTGCAGCATGCACCCAAAATTAGATTTAAAAAACAAAAAGACGATTACTACTTACTTATACCCTTTTCCTTGGGAGCTATTTTCTCAATTTCTTTTAGCTGGAAAACACCTTTCTGAAAGAAAGAAATCAGGAGAGAATTTGATTTGAACTTCGGCAATATGCTATGGGTTAATTAAACAAAGGTTTATAATCAAGTTCTGATGACATATGAGTTGCCATAATAATCCTTTTTAAAATTAGGAACATTTGCTGAGCACTATCCAATTTATTGACTTTCAAAAGTTGAATGAGCAATTTCTGAAATATGTATTGAAAAATCTGTATTGATTATCATTTTTTTTAATCAATGCTAAATTCATGACTGGGTCATCTTGGTTTTGTGGTGACAAATCAAATATGTTTTTTAAGCATTCAAAAATTCAAAAATGTTAACTTAAGTCTATTGCTACTTATTCTAAACAAATTATGACTGAAAATAAATTTCATTATGAAAAAAATTAATAATAAAGAAGAGAATAAAATACCAATGTAAATAACAGTTCAAAACATTAAAAAGAAAAAATATGTAGACTCAAAATATGTAGAAAAGACCTTATCAATTAAGTAAGACTATTAATTTTTTTTCTTTTCAATTTCTTTCTTTCTTTTTCTACACTACTTGTACTTGTGAACAAACAAACTAACAAAGAACACACACATGCACATATCCACACACACTATGACAAGACTGACAAAGAAAAGGGACAAAATATACAGTTCATCAGGTAGACAAAGGAACATCCCTTCACTGCTATTATGTAAAAATGTGTAGAACAGGTGAATATGCATGTGACACATTTTTACATAATAGCAGTGAAGGGATGTTCCTTTGGCTACCTGAGAAACTGTATATTTTGTCCGCTTTCTTTGTCAGTCATATTCATAGTGATAAGAAAGACGTGGAAGCCCCTCAATAGGCTTTGCACAGGGGTGGGGTGATGCAAATACAATGCATAATTGGGGATACACAGATGACACACACACCAACTGCTAGTGTGAAACATCCGTGCAATCTATGTCACACTTATTAAGATGCCCACTCCTAGATGACCAATGCTGCCTGGAAGACCTAGTGGCAGCATATGAGAAGGCTCTTCAGTGTGCAAGAGCCTGGCAGAACATTTGAGCTCAGATAATGGACACGAAAGACAAAGAATAAGAGATAGATCGATATCACATTGCCTAAAACAAGACACATACCTTTTCAAAGAATATCTCTTGCATCCTCTGCCGTTTCTCGTCCAAACTTAGTCCACGTTTCCTAGACTTTACAGTGAAAATGGAGAAAAGGAAACAGAAAAATGTAATTTAACACATTTCTTGTTTACTGTCAGTGTCACCAAATATGTACCCAATAATGTATTTAATTATGTAAACGCACATACGATAGATCTATATGTCAAATTTAGCCAATACGATCATACCAATTCAGCTCCACTTTAACAAAAACATGGTGATTGTTAATTAATTATTTGATTAAAAATAACAATACATGAGCCGGCTCATTGTGGGTAAAATAAGCAACACGAAAATGCAAACAAAAAAGCCAACATCCGCATTGGCTGAAATACATGTACGACGTAAAAGGCGTTTTCGTTTTTTTTTAACGTTTTTTTCAAAATATATATAATAATATTTGTGGTGGTACACAAGTACGCTATTAGAAATCATTATATTTTAGCCGTCTCTGAACCGATTTTGATCAAAGATGATTTTGTCATTTAAATATTATGTTCTTTCAAATTTGACACTCAGTTTTTCATTATCTCAAAAAAAATTATTTTGTGTAGCGCCCTCTGCAACAGAACTCAACTATCCCTTTAAGCCATTCATCAGCTCTGATAAGTTTCTCATCATTTTAAAAACAGGTAGGCCTAGGCCTACATGTATTAAAGTTGAACCAAGATGAAGTTACGAAAGGTACGAAAACCAGAGTATGATTTATGGACATGATGATGAAGAAGAAAAAGACATTCTGATGAAATGGGGGGGGGGGGGGGGGGGGGGGGGGGGTCCAGACCAAGACCACGGAGTACTGAACAACTCGAGAGTAGACAGAAGAAAGATAAATGTATCTGAAGAAGAGATAGGCAGACAGATAAATAAAAATGAAAAGATAATGAACCTTCACCATTTAACTTTCAACTCAAGTTAAAGAAGGAAGAAGTGTTTAGCCACTCCAGCAAAGCATAGAGAGTCAATGCTTAAATGCGTATTGACCTCTAGCACTGCATGCTTGCTGTGAGGCAGGTATTTCGGACCCATACACAAATATACACACCACACAATATCACATGGACTCTACACAATCATGTCGATGCAGCTGTGAGCAAAGTTTGACACTAGACTTTCAATTAGAATTTTTAAATTATTCTTTTTAACATCAATAAGTTAAAAAAAAAATGTATTTTACTGCTTTAGGTGTCATCAATTGTCACTAAAGTACCGATTTTTAGTGAAATCTGTTGAGTTTTGTACAGTGGTGTTTGAAATGTTGAGAATCAAAAGCACAGCTTTTACTACACAGCCAGTATAGTGATGCTCCTATGTGTGGGTTTAGCCTAGAAGTAAAGAAAAGAAGAGAAGGGTCTAGGAAAGAAAACCAAAACAAGGAAAAGGATGGAAAGAAGGAAAACAAACAAAGGAAGGAACAAAAGACGATAAGAAATTAAAGAAGGAAGCAAGCCATTAATTGCCACAGATCTTGTAACCAGAGCAGAGGCAGAGCTCAGACTCAGGGGCTCGTTCCTAGAAACCAACGACAAGACAGTCATAACTTTATCCGCCAACTACGGAGATGTCTCTGATCTTCCTAAACCGTTTCACGAAGAGCTTACTAGCTAGTATCTCGTGAGATCGATATTATCGGCGAGAAGAGGAGCCGAGAATTAGCCTTAGTAGCAATACTACCAGATTATTACAAAATTAATATTAGGGAAAATGCAATTATTTAAATAAATTAGTAATAAAAAAGATTGAAAATTATACCAAGAAATAAGAGATCCAATATACTTCCAAATTTGTGTAGATTAAACAATTGAAGTACTTGTAAAATATAAATGTGAGTTTTTCATTACATGACCAGTGAATCAGTTTTGTTGTTGAGATGGGCACCCCCCGAATATTTTCATTTGATAGTTTATAAAAATACACCCTTATATTATTCTTTGAAAAAATACGATGTAATGAAATTTGTGTTCAATGTTTTTGGCGTCAGCACAATATAAAAATTACAAAACTTCAATATTTCAAACGTTAAAACATATGTTTAAACCATTCACTTTACATAATTGAAAATAGAATTCATCTCGAAATTAATATGGGTCTGAAAACTAAAGAATACACTTCAAACTATGGCTTGCCTGCCGTGGCAAAATACATATCCCTTCGACGAGTTTACAATGTGGAAATAAAGGCGTATAATCAGTTTATTTAAGTTCGGAAATCCTTAAATACAAACATGGCATATTTTCATGAGATTATCAAATACAAAAAACGATAATTCACTGTTTAAGTGAATGTGTAGAAAAATCATAGTTGGAGGATTTATTGTCCTTTTTTGCCAGCCATAGTCTACCCAATAAATGACATGTGATGGCGCTGCCCATCGACTAAATAGTTATGCCAGAGATACGACGGTGTCAGAGGTGTCATAACTCCTTAGTCAGGATGTTGTCGTTGATCTTGGCAAAGAGGGCTTGGTGAAACACGTAGCGGACAAGTTGTTCACTAACGCTGATTTAGTCAAGAAGTTAGACTTATGACGGTTTGTAGGAACGGGCCCCAGAGGGGCAAATTCTCCCCATTAATTATCGTCAGTCCCGACCACGTTGAACGTCGCTACACACCACAGTTACAAGTTTGCACGTTTCTCCATTTAAAGTCCCAACTTAACACGCGCACGCTATTGAGTATTGTAATGAACGTGCGTTGAACTCCGTCTCCGACGGCCGTCTTAACTGCAGGGAGCTCGAGCTCCGCCGCCGAAGAGCGGGGAGGCCTTCGACGGACCAGCTCCCTGGAGTTATCTCCGGCTCCGAGTCCGACTCTCTTAGAAATGCTAAGTTAAAGCTCTTCAATTCGGTTTATTGGTAAAAACACATTCTAAAAAGCTTGCATAATTCAATAATCATATAAAAAATTCGTTCAAAACTACTTACCATCTTTAGAAGTTTAAGGAAACAGTAAAAAAAAAAGACCAGAAAATCCTAGGCAGCGCAGCTCAGCAACACAGATTTAATATTCGCGCGACAAATATTCGTATCTAGTTTATGGAGCGCCAACTTGTGGTATGATACGCCACTGTGGGAATATTTTAAATACTTTTTTTTTTGTCTCTGTTTTTTATATAGTATTATCACAATGAAGATGATAATATTAATGATGATAATGAAAAATAATAATAATAATAGTAATAAAAATAAAAAATGATGATAATAATAATCATGATAGTAAAAATTATAATTATATAGGCCTACCATTATGATATGTTGAAAATAATAATAGAAGCATGCAGATGAAAAAGATAAAGAAACTAACGAAAAGAAATTAATATATGGGAGAAGGGGAGCTCTATAAAAGCACATCATGGTGAACCCTCTATGGAGCAGTTCTAGCTAGAACAACGTAGCTGCATGCCGCCTCGGTTTCTGATTTGAGAAACCGGCGCGACTGGTTTGGCTATATATAGCTACCACCTTGTCTGTATGGTGAGATGATGGGGTTAGTTCTCATAGACCGAAATAAATGATACACTAAATACTAAAAGTTTTAACAGAAATTAAATGACCACCTCAGCCTCTCTCCCTGTTGCTTTCTCTCTCTCTCTCTCTCTCTCTCTCTCTCTCTCTCTCTCTCACTGTCTCTCCAAACAAACTACATCACAAGACCCAGAAATAATTAATGGATTAAAGTTTAAGCAAAAAGAAAAAAAATGGATTTACTTGGTGTCTTTCTTGTCTCTCCTCAGCTGAATGCGGATTCGGGGGGGGGGGGGAAGGTGTTAGGGGTTTTGGGGCTTAAATCCTGATAAAAAGAAAGACACTTGTACCTTTGCACTTGTTCTTTTAACTCAGACAATGACTGAAATAAATAAAGTCAACAAAATAATAGAATAACATAATGTTCATATAATGTTCTGAAGTCTCTGCAATTATTAGACAGATGAATATAATTATAAACATGCTATTTATGCCAAGATCAATGGACAAATTTGATCACACATGAAAATAACATAGCTGCAAATCAAAAGACCTGTTTACTCAAGTTTTGAATGCTTAAAGATTTTTTGTGTAATGACTGAAAAGTTTGCTAGAGGGCTTGCCCAAGCCAACAACTAATGTATGCAAAGTGACTTACATCCAAAAACATCTATAGGAGGTGAATCAAATAGTTACAACTGGGATGGAAACATGCATAGATTAAAATACATAAACAGGTCTATTGGACTTGTGTTCTTTAAAGAACCTTTCGTGGCATGATTATTCAAATCAAAATTAGTAGAGGGTTATAGTATACTTCCTTGGGATTAAGAAAATGACAGTTCTTTATTATAAAAATCAAACAAAAGGATAGATAACGATAACGGCCATGCCAAATTACCTTGCTACAACAAAAGCTAATACAAGGTGATCTGGGAAAAGGGATGCTAAAAACGATGATGATGAAGACAATTTCAATTGCCTATCGGTAATTGTGCATCACTTACTGTAATTTGTGAATGTGACAATAACAACATAACACATAACCTGAACATGACTTATACAGGCAGTACGTACAATTGTATACAATATACAAATGACAAAGTGTTCAGAAAAGTAGCAGTAAATTTCCATCACTCATCAACACGATAAGAGGCAACTGCAGTTTAACTTTGTCGGTCACATAATTATACAGGAAGGTATATTCTAGAAATAACAATATTCAGAGGGAAGACTGCTGGAAAGAGCTGAAGCACATAAATTAAGGCAACACCTCACATATTTACAAAGCCTGAAAAAATGGGCAACCAAAAATAAAATTAACAATAATATTGTTTAATTTAAGAGTATCAGATAATAGACTGAAATGGAGGGCCATGACTGCCAATGACGACGATGATGACAATAGTCTATTCAAATTGCACTAAAGTTAATTTCTCAAAATTCTTTGTGATTGTCTTCAAGATTTCTTCATAATGAGGGTCCACTTTACATGGTCCGGCATGACACACTGTTAATACTAATAATATTTGGTTCTTTTATAGCGCATATCACATTATATAACGTCTCTATGCGCTTCCAAAGAGCTTTCAAGATGATTACCCTAGCTCTAGCTCCGGCAGCAGTTATCAGCACACAGTGCATGTCAAGAAATAATCCTACCAGGTACCCATTTACCTCACCTGGGTTGACTGTGGCAAATGAAGATAAATGTCTTGCCAAAGGACGTTAGTGCCGCGGTGGGACTCGAATCGCGGACCTTGTGATCGACAGTCCGGTGACATATCCACTCAACCACGACACTGTCCAAGAGACTTCCTGGTAATAATAATAATAATAAATTGTTTCTTTTATAGCACTATATCCAGTTTACAACTGATCAAATCGCTTTACAAAACAAATACATCAATGAATTAAAACTCAACAAAAATATGCTAGAAAATGTAATGCAGTTAATTACAATGTAAATATAGGTGTGTTTTGAGATGTTTCTTAAATACTTTCATTGACATACTACAGTGTAATTCACAAGGTAACCTATTCCATGTAACCGGACCACTGTAGTGAAAACTTCGCTCACCTATCTTCGATTTTAGTCTAGGCACATGGAGAGCCGTTGTGTCTGTAGTTGAGCGAAGATTATATGAGAAGTGACGAGAAGATTGTAACAAGGAAGACAAATATTCAGGTGCAACATTATGTGTACATTTGTAAACAAACAGTGCGGTTTTGTATATTATTCTTTTTTCGACCGGTAGCCAATGAAGTTGTCTAAGTGGGGTGATGCATGATCCTGTCTCCTAGCTCGAAGAACAACACGAGCAGCATGGTAGGAGGTTCTTTGTGCCCAAAGTCCTCTTTGCTGTACCTCTTAGACCCTGCACTCTTCTTCTTCTTCTTTTTAATTCTGTTTAAGTCTCCTTTAAATTGACTTAAGATTCTTGCAAACTCCTTCATTGTGATCCAAATTTCATAACGCTTCTCTTATGTTGCCTTCATTCCACAAAGGATTCTTGAGACAACCTCACCATGGAAATAAACAGCTGCCCTCATTTTCAGGACTTTCCTTGATCATAAAATCATGTTCCATTCTTCCCTGCATGAGAATTAAACATGTTTCCAATGTTAATTCTGATTAATTCCACTATCATTTTCCTGAATTTCTCTCAGCCCACGAGGCATTGTAGTTCTCATAAGTCATAACCAATGTTTAACCGAGTCTATGTCCACATTGCCACCGCATAGGATTACAGCAACATTCTTTAAATCCTGAGACTTGAGAGAGAACTTTTGACTGAGAGCTGCAGCGATGCCCACCCCAGCAGACGGCTCGATGAAGAGCTTCATCAGCTGCCATATATGACGAGTTGCATCCTGAATAAAAGGTAGAATGGAAAAGAGAAAAGTGCAATATATTTTGAAAATATTTGGAAATACTTTTCAGGCTTAACTGCAGGATACCACACAACGTTTTATTCAATTCAATTCAATTCAATAAGGGTTTATTCAAAATGACGTTCTTGCAGCCGAAGCTGAATTGCATGGTCATTTACAAGGTAAAATGCATCACAATGATTAACAAATACAGCGTTATACATGTTGTAAACATCACATAAAGGACATATAAAAGAATAGTATCATACAATGTATTAGGATAAGGGTCAGGGCACTTTCAGGACTTTGGGGTCAGGGTTATAGGGTCAGGGCCGTTTGTTGGAGTATTCTGCATTTATTTCATATTCTTATGTTCAATTATAACTAAATCATGACTACCGGTACTACATTTCTATGCTACGACATTATATTAAATCATACACAGTGTAATGTGATATTATAAAAATTTGAAAAAAATACTATTGGCACACGTAGAGTTGCTGTCAAAATGACACATTTATGTCCAATAGTCAACATTGGGTACAAGTAGGAATTTGAAGGTTTCTATCCATTTGTGCACTCTATTACAAGCCATGGACAGAATATATAAAAGAAATGTTGGATCACTATGTTTTTATACACAAGTTTACACCCTTACAAATATTGTACCATATTCAGAAAGTACGAGTCTATCCCCTGTGCTACATGAATCCTGAACATCAAAACACAATCAGGACCCACCTTAATCTCATTTTCTGTGACTGTGATGACATCATCAACATGCTTCTCAATGATTGGCCAAGTGGACTCTCCGATGGAAACTCTCAAACCATCAGCTACCGTATGCACAGGACCCGGCGGTAGAGGGATGAGTTTCTTTGCTTGGAATGATTGGAAACAGTCATCTGCATTTTCTGGTTCAGCTGCATAGACTTTGATTGCTGGATTCTTGCTCTGTCAATAATAAAGATAATAATGATAATACAGTCAAACCTGTCTATAGCGACGGCCACCCAAGGGAAACACAAAAAGTGGTCTTTGTAGACAGGTGGTCTTTGTAGACAGGTTCCTTTAGTACATGTTTCAATGAGAAACCATTTTCAAGGGAAAAACAAAATGTGGTCTCTGTAGACAGGTGGTCTTTGTAGACAGGTGGTCACTGAAGCAGGTTTGACTGTAATAATTTATTTATATAAAGCATTATCAATATTGGCCAATTGCACTTTGCAATTTAACAGAAGAGGTGATTTTGGAGACTTTTTTTTAAGGTAATAATAATAATAATAATAATAATGAACATTTGTATAGCGCCTTTTCTACAAGTAGATACAAAGCGCTTAATTAACATATACAATGAACAATTAACAAAATAGAAAGATGCTTAACAACAGACATGTATGTAACAATATAGGAATGAACAAAATAAAGGGTAAGACAGGTAATAGAAGAGCAAGAACAAGTGCTGGTAAGCGGGCATTAGTTAAACAAGTGTGTTTTGAGGTGTTTTTTGAAAGTCATTAGAGAATCAGCAGTTTGTACAAAATTGGGGAGATTGTTCCATGATTTTGGAGCAGTGGCTATGAATGCCCGCTTACCAGCATTGGTTCGACACCTTGGGGTATCTAAAACTGTACGAGTGTTGGATCTTAGGTTGTAACTGGAGTGCCTAACATGAACGAGATCAGTAAGATATGAGGGAGAGAGATAGTGTAACGACTTAAAGACAAGGGTGGAGGTCTTGAAGAGCACTCGCTGTTGAATAGGAAGCCAATGCAGAGAGTTCAACAAGGGCGTGGTGTGTGTGCTCTTTGGTTGTTTGAAGATGAGGCGTGCAGACTGGTTCTGGAGAAGCTGAAGACGGTGAATGTTCTTTGCTGTTGTGCCACTCAACAAACTGTTACAGTAATCAAGACGAGATAAAACTAAGGCACGGACTGCAGCATGAGTGGTACTTTCGTCAAGATATTTTCTAATCCTGCATAAGTTCCGGATATGATATTTGACAGTCCTGACTACATTTGAGACGTGAACATCTGGCAGCATGAGGTTGTCAAAGACGACGCCAAGAATACGCAGCTTCTTTGACGGTTTAATCACAGTCCCATCATGAAGAGTTAGAGTGAAGTTCTGGAGCAATCGTTGATGGACTTTCGAAGCAAAGACTACTAACTCAGTTTTGTCTTGATTAAGTTTCAATTTGTTGGATGTCATCCACCTGTAGACATCTCTCATTGCATCCCGTAGTCTGCATGCAGCATGATCAACAGAGTCCTGGCTAGAAGGGTCGCATTGTATATACACCTGTATATCGTCGGCGTATACATGATAGCCTATGCCATGACTGTAAAGGATATCAGATACAGGTTTCGAGTAGAGCGTAAAGAGCAGCGGGCCCATCACCGATCCTTGCGGGACACCGAACTCCAACCTGGTGTCTAGTGATTTCACTCCTCTGATTCGCACATGTGATAGTCGGTTGCTCAGGTATGATCTAAACCAGTGCAGTGCTGTGCCAGAGACACCATATTCATCCCGAAGCCTTGTCAGCAAGATCGTGTGGTCAAGAGTGTCAAATGCAGATGACATATCTAGCGACAGTAGAATGACGCATTTCCGATCATCCAGAGCACATAGGATATCATTCTGAAGACTCACCAATGCAGTCTCAGTACTGTGATTTTTCCTATATGCAGACTGTTTAGGATCACCAAGGCTGTTGTCTTCCAAGTAGTTGGCTAACTGTGATGAGACGACTCTTTCCATAAGCTTGGCTACAAACCTTATGTTCGAAATGGGCCTGTAGTTTTTCATTCTTTCTTTGTCAAGTCCTGGCTTCTTCAAGACTGGTGTCACAGATGCAACACCTAGAGATGATGGAAAATCGCCTGATGCCAACGATGCGTTGATGATATGCGTCAGCTTTGGCAGCAAAACAGGAAGGTGACGCTTCAGGAGCCACGTTGGAAGAGGATCCAAAGGACATGTCTTGTTGGGTGAGCGTTTGATCAGCCTCTGAACCTCCTCTGATGTGACCAACTGGAACTCCACGAATGAAGGGGCTGAGATTGCCATACCATTTGGATTGTCCAATTCGTCAACGTTTAAGTCATCTATACATCTCCGCAAGTCTCTGATCTTCTCACTGAAGAATGTGCAGAATGTAGAGGCAAGCTCAACTGATGAATCAGCATCTGGGAGAAATCGTTTACTCTTATTCAGAAGATGCTTCAGTTCTCTATACATGTCCTTTGGAGTACTTTCAGAAAACAGGTCATTGTAGTAGAACCGTTTAGCCCTTGACAGAGCTTCAGCTGCAGCAGCTTTAGCTTCACAGTAGGCCGATCGATCGCTATCGGGATTGACTTTAAGGGATTTACGCCATTTCCGCTCCTGTCTTCTGCGTTCACGTCTTGCAGCATCAACTTCTTCGTTGTACCACTTTGGCCTGTGACGAACTTGCGTGGTGCGGAGACATACAGGCGCATGGATATCCAGGACACGCTCCATGTCTCTGTCAAGATTGAGCACGCAACTGTTTACATCCTCCGCCAAGGGTTGAATGTCAAGGAAACTGGCAAGATCATCGGCAAACAACGTGTGATCAATGTTGCTGAATTTGCGATATTCCTGTGGCCGTTCATCTGTAGATGGTCTTTCACCACGGATCATGCAGCTCACGGCTACATGGTCGGACATGAGGCTCGGATCTGTACGTATGGAACAGAGAAGATTCTCATCTTCCCTCGCAATCACTACATCCAATGTATGGCCGTGTCGATGAGTTGGCTTTGATATGTACTGCTTGAGTCCTGCGGATTTCAGCGTATCTACAACGCGTGCGACATCAGGTCTCTCGGGACAGTCATAATGGACATTCAAATCACCTAAAAGCAGTAGCTTCCCAGGAGTCTGATTCATGTCATCGATGAAGCTGTCAAATTCTTCGAGGAACGTAGATGTTTTCAGACCATTCGTGCTGGATGGTGGTGGACGGTACACAGCAACATAGTTCACCGAACGAGCTTTGTCTGTAATAATGCAGTGCTCAAATGTTGTAAAATGAAAGGTATCGAGAGGCTGCTGGTTGAGAAGGAATCTGGGCAGGTTATTCCAAAGTTTGGATGAAGTAGTTGTGCTCTGTAGTGTGGGTATCATCTTGGGTGATGAATGGTTCGGCATGATGCCTTGGGAGGAGCGGAGGGAGTGATATGACTGCCTGATAGAGTTCAGATAGGTAGGGAAGAGTAAAACCGTGGATGCATTTGAAGGTGAGAAGGAGTGTTTTGTAGTGAATCCGGGACCAAATGGTTCAGTTGACGATCGAAGAATGGGTTTGACGTGACTGAACTTGGATGAACCTGTACCAAGTTTGGCGACAGCATTTTGTTACACATAAAATATTCAACAAGAACTACACTGGTTCTGAATCAATGACATGTCCTTTTCTACATGCTATCATGCGATAGAGGCAAAGATGGGCACATCTCAAAAGTGAAGAACATAATATATATAGTCATTGCGACCTAGACTTCCCAAATACAGGGACACCTTGCAAACAGATGACCTTTAATTTGAACTGGATGAAAACAGGGCCTTTATACTGGTATTGGGCTTCAATATTCTGACGTATTATTTTTCATGGTGTGTCTGATACACACCCAGGTAAACACCATTACCTTGTGTGTTCCACAAATCGTTCATGTAACATATGTTTCAAGTGTCTAGTTACTTTTTTTTTTTTTTTATAGATACCATCATCTGAGCAGCAGTGAACCCATTTGATTAGCCTATTTGGGCTCTCACTGCAGGGACTGCTGCAGGCCCTGTTTCATAAAACTTGTTATCAATAACAAGTCACCATATCTGTTATAAGCTACTGAAATCGTGGCATTCGATTGGCTGATGGCAAATTTGCCATAGAAATTTAGCATTTGTTATTGATAATAAGTTTTATGAAACAGGGCCCTCGTCTGACCAGCTGATACCTGAACTGGCTATTGTTTGTAATTGCACAATACATGTACATACAAAAAAAAAAAAAATAATAATAATATCAAATTGAGAATAAATGTAGAAGTATGTTTTTTAGATGTTTTTGAAGAGATCAAGGGACGTATTACTGATCAAAACTGTCTGATGTTTCTACTTTCTTTCTAAAAAAACATAATAAAACTTATTTTTCCATGATGATCGACATACCTTCAAGGCAGTTGCAATACCAGAAATCATTCCTCCTCCTCCCACTGGTACAATGACAGCATCCAGATCTGGTATCTGAGAACAACAAGAAATCCATTTTAGAAAACATAAATCAAGTATTCATAAACACTGTATGTAAGACCTTGTATGTAAACATGTACCAGGTATATGATAAACTAAATCTGAGCTCTTTCCAAATCTGAAGCTTACAAAATGTGTGTATATTTCATTTATTTCATTCTCCTGCCATCAAAAAATATTTTTAAAAATTGGCTTTTAATTGAATATTTAATTGGGGGGGGGGGAGGGGTACTCACATATTAAGACATAGAGGGGTGTGCCGCTCTAATAGGTCACTTTTTCACAAAATATTCCTAAAAATGGGTCTGTTTTTTGTTTAAATTTTAAAAAAAATTTGGGGGTGACTGCATGGCAAACTTTGTGAAAAATGGTCTTTACTTCAAGAAAGGATCCCCCAAAATGACCCATAAAAATGGGTAGGGGTTTTGAGGCTTGAGCTGCACACCCCCGTCCAAACCAAATCTGAGTACCCCGCCCCCCCCCCCCCCTGGACTCAATCCAGCCTTGGATTGAAGTGAGATATGTTCGACTGACCTGATCAAGTAGCTCTAGACCGATGGTACCTTGCCCTGCTATGACGTCATATGTCTGTGATGGTGAAAAGAAATGAGCACCTGTTCTCCTCTGGACTTCCTCACCTGTTGTTCTTCTCGACTAAAACAACAATAACAACAAAAACCAGACATAAATGTCCACCTGAAACCTTACTTTCCAGGCAAAGTTAATTTAAGAGTCCTTTCTGAATGACAATGCATCGATCGAGCCTAGATTGTGAAGACAGACCCACAACCTAAAGCAGCAACAGAATCTTGATGGGGGGGGGGGGAGGCAAAAGAGGGCAAATAAGATCTCTTGTTATTCTATTCGAGAAAAAAACTTGAAAAAGAGAATTTAACCAAAACTTGCATTAGGAGGGAGAGCAAAATAAAAATAAATTCTTCTGAAGAGAAAAAAAATGCATGGAAATTTGTACGGATATATGGAGGTCCCTGTAAAATTAATCTCCCCCCAAGCCAATAAGAGAACAATCAATATCTGTTATGATAGATTTCTTCACACCACATCAGTCAATTACTGCATTGGAAAAAGGAGGGGATGTCCCTGTCACCACGTACCCCCCCCCCCCCACCCCCTCATCTGTCACTGATCATAATTAGACTACAGCATTATAAGATATACCTCTTCTGTAGGTTTACATGTGATGACTTCAGCTCCATACCCCTTCACAGCATTGACCTTACACTTTGGAGCGGTCTCCGGCATCACCACATACGCCCCCAGGTCCCTGAGCTGGGCAGCATAGGCCAAAGCTTGACCAAAGTTTCCTGAGCTATGAGTAACTACTTTTGGCTTCTCGTGTCCCTCAGGTAAGCCCTCGACAAGCTTGGTTACTGCGTTCAAAGCACCACGAATCTGAAGTAAAACATTTTAAACAAATAAGAGAATTTTTCAATTTTTCAACGACTATAAGCGGCACTTTATTCATCAATTTGCATGTCTTTTGAAGCAGGACTGCACTACTTGTACATGTAGCTACTTGTGCCCTCTATACAGCCAACAATGCCTAAGCGGTACCCGTTGATCCCCTAAAGTCCCCTTTTTCTTACGTTAATTGAAAGCTGATTTGATGAGATAACCACCTGCCAGTGACCATGCAGGGAGGTCTAGTCCATCCAAGCCAAACTAGTGCAGATTTGCACCCAAGAACCAAAGATTGTTTGTTTTTATTTTTGTTCCTCGAGAGATTACCTTATGACCTGTGTTTGCTTGTCAGAAAAAAAGAGAAGGAATTTTGTGCCCCCATTCTTACAAAATCCTGGAACCACCAAGGAATGGGGTTATGGCTACGTTGGTATATTGCTATCACAGGTAAAATCATTTTACAACAAAGGATTATCATAAACCAAGTTGGAATGGATATAAAAGGATAATCATGCATAACTTATTACTAAAAGCAGTGACATCACCCCCACCTCCCTACGTACCCCTCCCCGGGATTATTGTACATATTATTACTTCCATCCTTCTCCTGAACCGCTTTGAATTCTTTCTGATCTCTACTAGGCCGTGCTGCATGAAAACTGTGTAGATATGATGTCTGACCCAGAAGCTAGACTGAACTTTCCATCGACCGATTTGCAACTGAATTTCCTCATTCCTCTAAGCTTAACACATGAATCACATGGTTATACCAAGAGGTAATAAATATGCGGGATCAGGCGTTATGGAAATTCCATAAAGTGGTGTGCAGGAAGATGAGACACCTTGCACAAATGTATTTCCCAAAGATTTCCTTTAGTTTTCCTGACATTTTTCTAATATTTTGTCTGTTTGTATACTTTATTAAACAACTGAACAACTTTTAAAGCAATATACTTGCCTTAAAAGAACCGGTCTTCTGGAGTAGCTCACATTTGAAAAAGAGATTTCTTCCTGGAGCCATGTTGTTGAGCATTCCACAGGTCATTACCGGTGTCACATGAATATGACCTTTGACCCTCTGTGCTGCTTCCTCAATCGCATTCAGGTTAACATTTTCCATTGTCTTTAAAATTTAAATATCTCTTTTCTGAAAAAAACATAGAAAACGAAAAGAGAATGTCATTGCACTGTATTGGCACACTTGAACAGAAGGTGAAGTTAATATTTTTGGTTCTTTTTTTGTTGTATGTACTAATACTGCTGCTACAACTAGATTTGTGCCATATCTGATCAGTCTTCATTACTATTAGAGGAAAATAACACTGCTTGAAAAAACAGGCCTTCTACTTCCAGGTTTATTTCGAAAATAACACAAATAATAACAGGCACTACAATTACAATAATTACCTGGGCCGTTTACATACCTACAAATTAGGTACACTATACCACAAAATACTGCACATTTCTTTTTACAGACTTGTAAAATTAGATCTGTTTTGGTCAACTTGTGTTTTCTCTTCATGAAAAAGACCTAATTAATTATTGGTCTAAAAATAATAGATACACATATTCAACTAACAGAGGAAAAAATAAAGCCTGTAATTTGTAAGCAAAGTTAATTGCCACTTGAAGCCTCAGTGCATATGAGAACCCCCTGTATATAGGCCTGTATACAGTAGTTATACTTTGGTTAATTATAACATTGACAAAATGTCAAGCAGGTATGAATCATCTCCCTGAACTATATGAAACAAAAGTAGAGAAGAAGTAGAAGAAGTAGAAGAAGAAGAAGAAAGAAAGAAAGAAAAGATATGAAGGTCTCATACAACTATATTGATCTCCACCATCTGTATTTGTTAATAAGTATGGATTAATAAAGCACTTATAATATACAAATAATGAATGGTTATGAGTTCAATAGTGCGAATATGTTCATGAGTTGAAAGATTAACATTCTATTCAACGAGGCGTCAGCCGAGTACGAATTAACGTTAATCTTTCAACGAATGAAAATATTTGCACTATTAAACGAATGAAAAACATTCATTATTTGTTTTATACAACATCGAAGAAGACCTAATAGAACGTTAATCAACAAATTATGCTTTACTCCTTATAAAGATAAATTACAGTTCGAGTCAAGCCTTCTCAATTACATGCAGATTGCCTTTGCGTCAGATACACGCAGGGATAAGCGCGCGCACATGCAGCAGAGAGATACGCAGTCTGCATATAACCAAAAATGCACGGCGCATATAACCAAAAATGCACGACCGTGCAATATACCATCTATTGAATATCATGTGACCAACAATCGTCCAATCAAATGACAAGGATCCACGTAGGTGTTGTATAATATGGAATATACAAACATGTACATGCAAATATTATTATTACCCTGGTCATCGAATTCATTCACGCACAATTGGTACTCCTAGTCCTACCATATATGGCCACTGTGAGGGAAAATGGCAAATTTTATCACAAAGCCAAAGGCTTTCATTATACTACCTTCGTAATCCCATTTTCTCCTGGGCAAGGAGTGGCAAATGTGATAGCGCTAATGTACTCCAGCACCAGCCTCGCTTTATTCCATCATACGCAAGTTATGAGTAAACCTTTGACTTAATTTTTGTATCTGTTATTCTTGTATATATATTGTATATTCTTTTATATATAAATGACATATGCAACTCCTCTCATTCCTTAAAATTTGTACAATTTGCTGATGACACTTCTTTGTTCTTAAGCCATAATAACTTATACTCACTGATAGACCAGTTTAATGAACACATGAAGAATGTATCTCTGTGGTTAAAGGTAAATAAACTATCGCTTAATTTAGACAAAACCAAATGTATTCTTTTTAGAACAGCTCAGTGCAACAAAAAAGAATTGAAAAATCAAGTTCCACCATATATTGATCAAACAATTATTGAAAAAGTCTCAAATATTCAATTTTTAGGTATTCTCATAGATGAAACATTGTCTTGGAAATCCCATATTGCCATGATCTCTACAAAGATTAGTAAAACTACAGGATTATTGTCAAAGCTGAAGTATTATTTACCAGGAAATGTATTGTTTATGATTTATAATTCACTCATTCTCTCTTATTTGTCATATGGTAACATCGTGTGGGCAAATACAAGTCATTCTAAGTTGAAACCCTTATTTTTTACTTCAGAAGCGTTGTCTACGATATTGTACAAACTTTCATTATTTGGCCCATTCTAAACCTTTATTTAGAAAGTTAAATACCCTCAATATTTATAGCCTAAATAAATATCAAAATGCTGTGTTTGTATTCAAATGTATTAAAGGTAATGCACCATCATCTTTTGCCACTATGTTCCAAACTAACTCTAAAATTCATAAATATAATACTCGAAATAGTTAAGTTACACATTTGGAATATTGATAAACAGTACATGCAACAATCGGTAAGGTATACAGGGCCCATAGTATGGAATTCTCTTCCATCCTCTCTCACTCAATATGTTTACTTAAACTCATTCAAGAAAAATCTTAAAATATATCTATTATCCCTATAATTTGTTTTAGTTTAACACCTATATTAAAATAAAATATAATTTGTAAATTACTATAAGAGAGAAAGAAGGGGGAGGGGGGAGGTGCATGGTGGGGGGGGGGTGGGAGGGAGGGAGGGGGGGGGTAGAACAAATACATGCGCAATACTCATTATTATGTTATTATATCTGTGTAATTATTTTATTCATTTGGACGCCTGAATCAACAAGCTAACATAAGCTTCCTACAGGTGCTCCCTTTTCCTTTTACTCATTTTCACAGTTTGTTTAAATTAATTTAATGTAATGCTCATGATTTGTATATTTTAAACTGTCTGTACTTTATCACATGTATATATTTGTATATTTTTTAACGGAAATAAAGTCTTTTGAATTGAATTGAATTGAATTGAATTGTATATTAATTGTTGTATGTTGTAAGCTTCACAAATAAAAATCAATCAACCAATCAATTTCCTGTTTAATCTTATAATCTTAAATTTCTCACAACAAATAATATAATGCAAAATTATGAACACCTAAATGAAGTTACTAGGCCATGAAACACCTCCCTGGTACAATTACCACGACTCAAATGCATGTACAGTCATTGATGTTGACTAGACCTATGACACAATGAACAGATTTTTTTTTTTTCAATAAACTAATGACCAAGAATATATATATATATATACCCCTACACCAATTTGAGCAAATGGGGCAATGTAAAGAAATTGTGCTCTGATGTTACCGCTGAATAATAGCGAATAACATTAACATTCCATGTGTGAATAAATTTAAAACATATAATACCTGTAAATTTCAGACGAATTTAGAGGGCTCTGATTTCCTGAGGCTGAAATTTCATAATTTCAACTTTCAAGTGGATATCTCGCAACTGCTCTGCCGAGACAGACCTCCTTGCTATGACAAACGAATCCTGGTATTGTGGGCGTTTCCGGTCGAGTAACCACGCCCACAATACGGCCACGCTCCTTGAATATACAGTTGATTTCATAGATTTTTTTTTTTTTTTTGGGGGGGGGGGACGCAGTTTCCGCGTCTACGACAAAAGATACTTCGTAGGAAATATAATTTAGGCCCCGGTCCCGGCTACGTCTTATTTTTTCGTACCATGGCGAGCCCATTCCAGTATGAACTCATTTTCATACATAACAAGCTCCATAAGCTTACAAAGAGGTTACAAGCAAGTAGACTTTTTTAGATTATTTATTGCTTTGCCTCACTTTTTATAAAGGCAAAAAACTAAACTGAGAATCGAACCTTCAACTCAATTCAACTCCAAAGCTTGTCGATAACTTAGTCTTGCCCAAACCTTAAACTAATTATTGTAAATGAACATTCTTTTATCGCGGATTTAAATTGTATAATGAATTTAATACCGATTAACTTACGTAGACTGAACACACTCAATCTATTTCGGCATTGCCTAAATGAATGGATACTAGATTTTGATGTATAAACTTTTGGTGTGAATGGGGAGGGGGAAGGGATGGTAACAGTCGTATACTGGTATTCATAATGTGATGTAGGGGGTTTGGGAGTTTTTATAAAGATATTTTGTGTTTTCTTTTTATGTTTAATTATTTCTTGACCTCTAGGAAGAACAGAGTCATTTTGATAATGGCTCTGAATAGAGCATTCCAGCCGTTTTTAATTCTTGATTTGTATTTATTTGTAAATTGTATTCTTGTATGTATTATATAAAAATAAAATAATATATAAAATAAAACCAACCAACCAACCAACCAGGAACCCCTGGGGCCCTATCTGGAGTACTAGGGTGAAATCGGGACTTACTCTCTTAAAAAAAAAAAAGAGTGAATTTTCACTCTATTTTCACTTTCTTGGGAGTGACGTCCGTGATCACTTGTTTAAGAGTGAAAATCAATTGATTTTAGAGTGCTCTCTAAGAAGAAAAGAGTGAATGTTCACTCTATTTCCACTACATTTTCACTCTCCAGAGGAGTGACGTCTGTACTCACTAGATTTTTGTTAGAGAGTAGACGACGAGAGCGTGGACTGCCGCGTGACTGGGCCGTGGGTGCCAGGTAAAAATGTCAGAGGAAAAAATGTCAGAGCCAAAAATGTCAGAGGTAAAAATGTCAGAGGTAAAAATGTCAGAGGTAAAAATGTCAGAGGAAAAAATGTCAGAGGAAAAAATGTCAGAGGTAAAAATGTCAGAGGTAAAAATGTCAGAGGTAAAAATGTCAGAGGAAAAAATGTCAGAGGAAAAAATGTCAGAGGAAAAAATGTCAGAGGTAAAAATGTCAGAGGTAAAAATGTCAGAGGAAAAAATGTCACAGGTAAAAATGTCAGAGGAAAAAATGTCAGAGGTAAAAATGTCAGAGGTTAAAATGTCAGAGGAAAAAATGTCAGAGGTAAAAATGTCAGAGGTAAAAATGTCAGAGGTAAAAATGTCAGAGGTAAAAATGTTAGAGGTACAAGCAAAAAAAAATGAGTGCCGTCATAATATCTCAGCACTTTTATCACACAGAATGTCGAGACGTACAGCTACTGCATGGGATAGTCTATTATATTCCTTTCTTCCATAATGTACATTTTATTAATGGCTGTGTGTTGTATTTCGTTCATGTCCTGAGGATAAATAGATTTTGAAATTTATTTTTTTGTGTGATCAGGCTTGCATATAATGTATGAATGTCTAACATTTTTTGATATTTTGAATTGGTTGGTGTGAAACGGACCGGTTTGGTCGGTGGCAGCCTACAACCTAGCCCGTGTAACGTTCCAGAGACGAACAAAGTCCAAACGAAGAAATGAAAGTTCTCGACAAAAGTCAAGTGTTAAAGTGAGTAGTGCATTCAGTACAAATAATTACATATAATCACGAGGAATCACGAAAAGTTATATAGGCTGGGCGCCCCGAACTCTGCTAAAGCTTTAACACCTCATGGCGGCAAAGGAAGTGGAGTAAGAATGAGAAAAACCAAGAAGTCGCCCGAAAAGTGAAAACTCGCTCCGAAAACTAAAAACCCGCTCCAAAAAGTAAAAGACCGTCTCGATTCCCCGGCCCCCCACTCCGAGAACGGACAGACCCCATGCATGTTACCAAATGTCCGGTAATCTAAAGCCAAGGCCAGAAGGGGTATTTTTGGTGCGACAAAGTCCGGCCCGAGATTTGTAAAAGAAAAGGGGTGTATTAACTTTTCACCCGGATATTTCTTTAAAAAGGGGGTGTTGTTTTTTTTTTTTTTCTCTCATCTCTTTGGACTCCTGAGAAATTATTCCGAATTTAGGGGGGTACATTGAGCATTTCTCATGATTTAGGGGGGTCTCCAAGGCAGGAAAAGCCCGCGAAAAGCCCGCGAAAGGGGGTTCGGAAATGGCAGTCCTCAGATAGGGGGTGCTTTCAAAAAGAGGGAACAAGCATATGCGTACCCTAAATAACACCGAGTTGGGGGGGGGGGGGGGGGGAGCGGGCTCGATTCAGAAGCTCATCCCCATTTTAAACCCTCCGACACGTGTGACCCCTTATACGGGCGTGTCACTACGACGCATTGCGTCAAAATAATCCCCGGCACCATACACACCCATGTCGAAAGGAACTTTATTAATTTTGCGAACTTAATTAACCTCCAGAGTTGAGCTTTCCGGCAATACCCATCGGCCTCGTAACGTACATAACTCTCACATTTGTGGTCTTTCCATCTTTAACTCTTTCACTCGACATCTTTATTAAATCCGAAGAACGCAAAGGGCCGGAAATATAAAAATCCTGGAGGCAATTATTTGAATGATAATCGGAGCATGCATTGACAAACTAACGAGATTCCATGACATTTGCTCCGGCGACAATTGCTCCGCTGTAAATTTCATACACTAATCGAATGGCTAACTTCAACCCTGGATTCAACACTATACCCTACCCTAAACCTAACCCTAAACCTAACATAAAACCCTATTGAAAACCCTAACCCTAACCCTACATCTTAGACGAAGCAATCGTCGCAGGAGCAAATGTCGTGTCACCACTAACGAACTCGCACAGAAACATTCTGAACTAGAGCACAACAGTCCTATAGTAACGATGAACCTTAACAACAAGCTACCCCCCCCCCCCTAAAAAAAAAAAAAAGTTGTTTACTCCATTAACTATTCCGTTCAATATAACCCAATGTACACCCCTCTTTCTTGTTTCCCTTTTGCCAATATTGTTTCCTCCATATTTGTATTATTATGTATCCATTGAGTGTAGTCATGAAAGAAACGGTGTGGAAGCAATCAGAAAAGGTTGATCATCTAGCATAAACATGTAAGTATTGGTGTGTAGTGCAAGGTTTTGGAGTCATCAAAATGATAACAACTTTGGCCCAGTCTTCGTAAAGTAACAAGCACTGTACACAGAAAGATATTGATATGGGACTACACAAACATAATGGCATACAAATCGGGCCTCATTTTAAAGCTGTTACTTGTCATATATTGGATATGAAGTCCTTTGAAATAGATTTTTAGGGAATAACTTTTTTCTTTGATGTTCTTCCACACTTGCATAATAAGAATGATAACAAACGCTCACAAATTATTGTTCACCTTTCCCCAGAACTCAACCTTCTCTTTAATTGATGTAACATGGGCGGCTTTCTGCTTTGTATCGAGTAACAAAGCTGCTTATTGATTTTCTCCCAGACTATTTTATACCGCAATAGTAATCGACAATATTTTATTGCAACGCGCGCACTTCGGGAATGTGATGGGTTTAGCATTGATAACATGGCTTTCTGCTTTGTTTCAGAGTATCAAAATACCAAGCCCACAAGAAAGGGGAATTGTCGGAAATATACTTTTATTGGAAATTACATAATAGTAGTCATTACCTGCCTGCTCTGCCTAGGCATTGACCACTGTTCGGAAGGATATATAAAGCCAGGGGCGTACGCAGGGGGGGGGGGGTTTGGGGGTTCAAACCCACCCCCTTTGGTATTTTTATGTGTGTAAACCCCCCTAAAAAAAACCTAAACCCCCCCCCCCCTTTAGATTTTTTTTTTAATTTTTTTTTTTTATTATTTAAAAAAAAAAAAAAAAAAAAAATATATATATATATATACCCACGGCTAACCTAAAAAAGGTGACCTTACCCCCCCCCCCCCAACGAAGAAAAATGTCAAATTTTCAAATTCGAGACCCCCCCCCCAAAAAAAAAAAAAAAGTGTCCGCTTTTTTTTATTATTTAAAAAAAAAAAAAAAAAAAATATATACCCACGGCTAACCTAAAAAGGTGACCTTACCCCCCCCCCCAACGAAGAAAAATGTCAAATTTTCAAATTTCGAGACCCCCCCCCCCCAAAAAAAAAAGTGTCCGCTTACCCCCCCCCCCCCCCCCCCCCCCCCCCCCCACTGAGCGACTTTTCGGCTGGCTGAGTCGTTGCGATTTTTTTTGGACTCCAAAAAAAAAAAAGTGTCCGCTTACCCACCCCCCCCCCCCCCCCCCCCCCCCCCCCCCCCCCCCCCCCCCACCGACCGACTTTTCGGCCGGCGCGATTTTAAATTTTTCGGGAGCAAAATATATTGGGCCCGATTTTAAACCCCCCCCCCCTTAAAAAAATCCTGCGTACGCCCTTGTATAAAGCAAAGCATATATATATATAAGAGAAAGGGGAGAGCAGCCGGGTCACCGTGCCCCAGAAGAAGAATACCCCCCCCCCCCCCCGTCGTCTTCCTTCGGCAATAATCGGGCAAAAAGTCACAATTTGGGGCCGAAAGGTAAATAAATTTAAACTGGGAAAGTGGAAAATAAAGCAGCGGTGAAATAACGACTGCAGAATATCCCTCGCTGTTCTTTTTCGATAAGCCTAATATATAACCCGGGTGTAACCATAACAAACTTGCCACATGATTTTGTTTTTATTTTATACCTCTATCATTTATATCTCTGACATTTTTACCTCTGACATTTTTTCCTCTGACATTTTTACCTCTGACATTATTTCCTCTGACATTTTTACATCTGACATTTTTACCTCTGACATTTTTACCTCTGACATTTTTTCCTCTGACATTTTTACCTCTGACATTTTTTCCTCTGACATTTTTTCCTCTGACATTTTTACCTTTGACATTTTTTCCTCTGACATTTTTACCTCTGACATTTTTTCCTTTGACATTTTTACCTCTGACACTTTTACCTCTGACATTTTTACCTCTGACATTTTTTCCTCTGACATTTTTACCTCTGACATTTTTTCCTCTGACATTTTTACACCGAGCCGTTCACGTCGTGTCAATCTAAAAGTCCCTAATGACGGCAAACCGCAGTCAAACTACTTCATAACGATGAAAATCAAAGTGCAATTTCAAGAGCAATATTTTTCCTAGCCTGTCTCAAAATGTAACAAAATTACCGTAGATGACGAAGACTATTACAGCTTTTACAAAATTAATGACTAAATTCACTTAATCTTCTCATATTTCAATCAATTACTCACCCATTCTCAGGGAACTAAATCTCCTGAGTTTTTGCGAGTAGCGTCGTGCATAAATCTGCTTAAAATATGTTTTCTGACATAACAAATTGAAATAAGCAACTTTTAAAATCAAAAGTGGTTGCCATAACCTTGATATTTCCCCCAAACCCATGGATAAAAAGTTGTTAGATGTTTGTCTACGAAACGGCAGCCATTTTGAATGTACATGGTCAAGGTAAGCACTTTTACTTTTGAAGGTTGTATAGTTGAATTTACCATGTCAGAAAACATATTATTAGACCCTAAAATCATTAGAATCGGACAGTGTTAACTGTGTTGGTCAATTTCTAAAGTGCATTGACGTTTTTGACCATAGCGCCCTCATTTAAAGTCGGAGGTATAGCAAACTATACATTTTTGGAAACCTTATGACCAGACGAGTAATTTGATATGCAATTTGATAAGGTTAAATGTGTTGGTGAATTTGACCACCAGCCGAAAGTGTGTTGACCTTTCAATAGTTTTGACCATAGCGCCCTCATTTAAGGTTGGAGGTATAGCAAACTATACATTTTTGGAATCCTCATGACCAGACGAGTAATTTGTTATGCATATTGACACGATTGGGACTATTTGATTTTTTATCCCTGTGTGACCTTTGTTGACCCCTCACGAAAATGCCCGGGATTTTCAAGGGGGCAGCCCAAGTCAAAATGGCGGTATTCATCAGGGAACACAAAAACACTTTCAAACCTTTGTTCCCAGAGATTGGTCACGGGACCTACAGGCTGGTCTCCTTCTAGTTTCCTTTGATTAAGGTGAAGCTTGTAATCGAATCTGTTATGTCTCAATAATTGAGCCCACAAATAACCAGACAGTATAAGAACATGTCATAATCGGTATAAAATACCAGGTACCCGCACCTTTTCTCAGATCTCTCTCTATCTCTCTCACTCCCTCTCTCTTTCTCTCTGTCCTCTCTCTCTCTCTATTTTTCCCTCTCCCTCTTTATTTGAAAAGGCATTTTGTGCGGTCTTTGAAGTGCAGAAGTGACACAGTGGCTCCCGATTGTGCCGCCCCGCCCTGTTCGAGCCTTACTTTGAATACAGTCGATTATAAATACGTGTAATTTGTCTGTTTTTATTACAACACATTGTGGAGGAAAGGACTGGATTTCCCTACGCATCGGAGCACTTCTACCTTAAAAACTAGCATAACTTACAATAACCTGCATTTATCATGGCTCTTGTATACCGGGCCCTTAAAAGAAAAAGTGTCGTTATCGTGTTGATCTGTTTGGTGGCGTTATGTTACTGTCTCATCGGCGCTCGTCAGACCAGTCAAATTCCAAAAGGCTTGACTCGGAATGGGACATTACCAACTGACAAAATGAGTTTATCTACTATTCTCACAAAATACATGCGGTCTTTAGACCGCTCACCTCAGAACACTACACAGAATGAGGACACTAGAAGTTGGCTAGAACGTACACACTGGGAGTCTAAGATTGATTACCACATGTATCACTATCTAATTAATCCCAAGGATAAGTGCAACTCCAGTGGCCTGGTGGTGGATATTTCCGGAAACTTGACATTGCTTGTCCTGGTGAAATCAGCACCCGGTAACTCCGAACTGAGGGATGCCATCAGGAATACCTACATTCAGGGAGCCATAAAGTACAATGTGTCCGCTAGGATCTTGTTTCTCCTTGGATTCCAAGCACATGGTGAAGTGCACCAAACGGATATCGTCAAGGAGGCTGAGACCAATGGGGACATCATCCAAGAAGACTTCGAAGACTCTTACCACAACCTTACCATCAAGGTCATCATGGGAATCAAATGGGCCATGACATTCTGCGGTAACAGTCACTTCGTGATGCTGACGGACGACGATGTCATGTTTGACATCTTGACCCTCGTCGAAGATCTGTCAAAGGCATACCCAAAACATCACTCGGAATTTGTACTAGGTGAGGCAACGTACAATGCCATTCCCTTCAGAGACCCAAATGGCAACTTTAAGAAGTTCTACACTCCAAAGACACTGTATCCTCAGGCCAGGTACCCGACATACCCGCAGGGGTATGGGTACATCATTTCATGGGACGTCGTACCTCGGGTTTTCCAAGCTTCCAAGGAAATACCCCCTCCTGTACCGTGGGAGGATGTCTACATGGGTGCTCTGCTCCAGAAAACTAGGATATCCATAACAGATAAGTTACCCTGGTATAGAGAACGACACCCTGTCAAAACGGCAATACCGAATATGCTAGTTCCTCACAATGACTACTTCATGATACAATTATCGAGTGCTAAAATGAAGACAGTTTGGGATGCAATTGAGAGTGCGTTCATCATCAATGCGAATAACTCTGTACATTAGGATAATCATTTTTGAGGTGATGTTAATTGTTATTGTATAATTGTTTTAAATGGGGGCACGCTACAAGAGTCATATCTCGCACCCCGGGGCAACGTGTCTGACACGGCCGGTTGTAGCAACTACTCCGAAGATCAAGACATTAATCTTAATCTAAGGAGACACGAACGAACGAATACTACTCATTATCAGTGGCAGATTCAGAGGATCTGCCAAAATCTTAGATCAAATGTATGTTTTTCTTTGACATGTTGACCTTCGTGGCAACATAATGAGATGGGAGGGGGGGGGGGCATTCGTACATGTACATTCAAAGGTTCGTTATTCCGAAAGTTCTTTTTTATTTAAACGTTCATAAATTAAAGCCGAAATTTAGCCTTCAGTATTCCGAGGGCTAATAATCTGATAATGAAGTAGGGTACATAATTCCGGGAATAATGTAAAATCGCATTTAATTTTCATAATTTAGAATTGATGAATTATAATAACCCCTATTTTATTTTTTAGAAATTATGAACCTTCAAAATTAAAAAAAATCTTCGGATTAATGAACCTTTGTATTCAGGAACATTAGGGGGAGAGAGGCATGTAACTTATAGGATGGGCGTATTGCCCTGTACTTTTTATAATACAATTAATGAATATTGTACAAATATTGTATGCTCCGGCATTTAATATAGAATAATATATGAAGCGACAAATTCAGAATTTGTCGAATTATGCTAGTTCACCATATTTTTCTTTTCTTATGTGAATTTATTTATTTCACATGAACGAATGTATAAGAAAACAAGCAACATAACGAAATGGAGGATATTACATCAAGAAACAATATTATAAAAATTGTAATAGTTTAGTTACATTAATGACAATCGAACAAATGACAGTTCGAACGTAATTGAAGGTGAGACGATGCATAATGTTTGCGTGTCCTACCCAAGACGAAAATCCAATTGAATCCCCATTGAATGTCCCCATTGAATCCCAATTGGCAATTTGGAGTAAATGGAAACCCATTGTTTCACTTTCCATGTACTCCAAATTGCCAATTGGTATTGAATTGGGATTCAATGGGGGCATTCAATGGGGATTCAATTGGTAATTCGATCCAGTTAGAAGAACCAGTGATAAATTACTGATACTTCATAATCGATATTGGCAACTGTCCACCAATTCGGTATATTCCAATCTCATTTGCATTAACTTCATCACATAGATTATTTGAAGTGAATTCAAGAGTTACATTTACAGTGACACAGGCTCGGACACATATAGACTATATATACTAAATATGCATGTTGTTTCTTGGTTAGTAGCCTAATCATAGATCTATAATCAATATATCTATTGCTAAAACGTGAATGTAATTGTAACATGATCAGACAAAATAATCTATTGGTTAATAATTGCCAGAGGAAAATAGAAATCACAAAATTGATGTGCATTGTCATAATTTGCTTAACAAATCATGATAAATTTATTTTTCTGTGACACGTGTAAAGTGATAATGAATATTCATGAGATGCCTAGATTTGTTGGTTTCTATTGGTTTCTGTTGGTTTCTATTGGACCTATTGGTCATATTGTTTTTTATTGGTCTTATTGGTCCTAATGGTTTCTATTGGTCCAACTGGTTTCTATTTAGCATTGGTCCTATTGGTTTCTATTGATTTCAATTGGCCCTATTAGACTTTAATGGAATTTCAATTGGTTTCAATTGGACCAATTGAAGTCCAAATGAAGGCCAATTGGTCCAATTGAAACCAATTGGGGACCCATTAAAGTCTAATGGGGCCTAGGCCAATGGGGCCAATGGGGCCAATTTGTCCAATGGGGCCAATCTGGACCAATTGAAACCAATTGGGGACCCATTAAAGTCTAATGGGACCTAGGCCAATGGGGCCAATGGGGCCAATTTGTCCAATGGGGCCAATCTGGACCAATTGAAACCATCTGAAGTCCTATTAAAGTCCCATTGAAACCTGTTAAAACCTATTGAGACCAATTGAAACCAATTGAAACGAATTGATACCAATTGAAACCAATTGATACCAATTGAAATTTCAATTGGTGTTCAATTGGTTTCAATTGGATTTTCGTCTTAGGTAGCAACAACTAATGCGAGAAATCTACCCGCAACAGTACCAATATAGCCCTATTCATGCTCTTCGTAACATTTCGCCAATAGGAAAATGTGTATAAAGCAGAATTCATCATGAACATGGTCCACAGCCTGGTCATACAGTGTAGTACTCAAATGAGTATTACATAATCAACGTAACACTATACGCTAGGCTGGTACCTGTATCATGATTCATTTTGTGAGGGATGTTATATGGATCTGCAAAGACCGGTTTTATACCCAAATCCCAATTGTTTTATTCAAACATCACATAAGCAACTTTGGCGCAAGTCCATTTTTGCACTCTCGCGAACAATGCCACCTGTTCATCAAAGCGTGAACACATTCCACACAAAATGATACTAAATGATTCGGGATAAAACACCCTTTCATAGATGTATGATAATTTACTGTGCATAGAAGATTTTTAAAATAATTAGCAATTTTCTAGGTGTAAACTTGTTTTGACTCACACTGTATACACTATGAACATGACAGACAAAGAAAGCGGACAAAATATACAGTTCCTCGGGTAGACAAAGGAACATCCCTTCACTGCTATTATGTAAAAAGGTGAATATGCATGTGACACCTGTTCTACACATTTTTACATAATAGCAGTAAAGGGATGTTCCTTTGTCTACCTGAGGAACTGTATATTTTGTCCGCTTTCTTTGTCAGTCGTGTTCATAGTGATATCTTTATCTCTCATCCTCTCTTTTTCCTTTTCACTCCTCTCTCTCTCTCTCTCTCTATCTTTCTCTCTATTCTGTCTGTTATATCCTATCCTAACAGTCTGTTCATTTCCCCAGGCCTCCTCTCTCTCTCTCTCTCTCTCTCTCTCTCTCTCTCGGAATTTAGCAGTGTTATAGAGTGACTAGACAATTATCGTACTGTAATCAAATTTAATGCACAACACTTTGTTAAAGGTACTATGTCCCATTTGCAGGCCAAACAAAAGAAATGGTAAAATTCCAAAGTCATTTGAAATACAATACTAATTTAGAACGTCCGTCAAAACGAAAGGACTTGAATATGGCTTTTAGTGGGAAACTAACGACCATTAGTTGAATCAACTCTAGTGATTGCAATCACCTAAGTAATGATCTGATTTTCAGAGCCTTATACCGAATGGTCGTACGTTTTGTGCTGCGCAAAGATTCAATCAGTTTAATTTTGGCCATTTAAAGTAGTGGGTAATTGATGTAGACAAATGCTCATGTACCTGTTACAGCTCATTTTATGGTATTACCAAATAAAAAAAGTCAGTCACTCAATAGTGTCTGACAGTGAAGTATAGAAGGTGAACGGGTGTCCTTGCATAATTTCATTACTAGGACACTACTAATGTTTAAATTTCACAGATAGGACTTACATGACATATTCTTAATTCTTGCAGAATTCTACAGAATGTGATGTTGGCTGCAAAACGGACTTAGTCTCTAAGTGCCATGTTATAAACAATTACGAATAATTTTATTTCAAGGGTCAGAATACGAATTGCATATATTACGTTTTGTCAGGTAGGACAACCAAAGATGTTTTTCCTACCTAGCAACAATTAATTTAAAGATAAAGTTGAGTTCTGGTCATGTGATTGCATTGTGAAAGAAACGGTGTGCAATCTATCAGAAAAGGTTGATCATCTAGTATATAAGTATTCGTGTGTATTGCAAGGTTCTGGAATCATCAAAATGATAAGAAATTTTGCCAAATCTTGGCAAAGTTACAAGCACTGTACACAGAATGATGTTTATGGGACTACACGAGCACATGGTGAAAAAAACCTACCCCCCCCCCGACTTTTACGATGTTTCATGTCATATTTAGAATATGAAGGCATTTGAAGAGCCATGCTTTTCAGGGAACATGTTTAATGTGATGTTTATCCACCCTTGCATAATAACAATGATAACGCTCACAAATTGTTTTTTACCTCTTCCCAGAACTCAACCTTCTCTTTAAGCAATGCGCGTTCTGACCTTTGAAATAATAATTATTCGTAACAGGTGAAATAATTAATTTGTAACGAGGCACTTCACAAAGATTTGGGCATTAACCTTGATAACATCGCGAAAATGGCCTATTTATACAAATTATCGTCGGCTGCTATAGTTGACAATACATCTTACGGCCTTGTTACGGGTCGACGAAACCTCGTGACGTTATTTCAATATGCCGTAGCGTACTAAATGTTGAATCATGACGTTAGTCACCAAAAGAAGTGAGAACAAATTCTGAATAAATTTGAAATCTTCATTTTTTTTATTTAAAAAAAAGAAAAGAGAGAGAGAGAGACAAAAAAGGAGAAAAGGAAATTGTAGGGCCTCTTAAATGACGCTGTTTCGAAAAGACTCATTGACTGACTAGGATTTAAATCACCGTTTTATTTAATGTTCTGAATTATTTATTTTGAAAAGACGAATCATATATCACTCTGTAAAGTTATTTACATGCATAATGCCGTGACAAGGCCAATTTTCCACATTTTGTTTCTTTTTAACCTGAAAATTTGAATGTATATCATATTTATGTACTCTCACTGAGAGGGATAAACCATTATTGTACTGCCCAAAATATTCATTCGTCACTAAACATTGTAATTTGGGAATCAGGGCACAATACTAGAAAGTAGAATGGGGCCGAATTATATGAAATGAAAACTATACTATAAAAACAAACTGCATCACTAAACATTTTCAATATAAGTGTTTGTGAAAGACGGTAAATGAATGATTCTGAATAAGTATGTTTCGATATAATTATTTATAAGATTATAAAAACGGGTTAGTATTTACATGTTTACATGGACATAAGACATTTCTTAAGGAGAGTGTTATATCAATGTGCAGTTTATAGCTCAGCCTGTGTTTTTTTAGCGACATAGCGAGTTTCCAGCCATGGGGGGGGGGGGGGCACTTTGCGAATTAAGAAGGCAATAGCTTAGGGGCACAGTGCGGTTGGGGTCGCTCCCCTCTCTTTTTCCCATGCTCTATTCTCCCTCTCTCTATCTCTCTCTTTCCCTCTCTCTCTCTATCTATATATCTATCTATCTCTCTATCTATCTCTCCCTATTTTACTATTCGACTGCGGGGGGGGGGGGGGGGGGGGGGGCGTGCCCCCATAACTCCAAACGTCGTGACTGATGGTGCCGACAGCTCAC